TGCGCTGGCTGACGAATGCGCAGATGCGTTTTTTCACAATTTTCTTGTGGGCGGGACCACTCACGGCCATCTTGGATTGCTCCATGAAAGCACTTTTCATGGCCAACTCCTATGAACGGCGGAGATAGGCGTGACTCTGTCCGTTATTATATACAGTCTATGGTATTACTACATACAAGTTGTATTAAAATCCGTGATTTAATTGAAAACAAGCTCATTGATTCAGCTGTGTATGAATTCAGGCCGTAAAAAGTACTGAGTAGAGACTTTAGCGTTGGTAAACACAGTAGCATGTTAGCAGAATTGGCTATAACTCCTCCTGCTGTAACTGCAGACACAGCAAAACAGCCCAAACGACACAACAGTGCGGAAGAGAAGAGGGAACTAAAGCAAAAAAATGTTCAAAGAAGAAATCCACCCCGGGTGAACATAGCTAGCTTACATCGTATCCTCTGGAGGGACTTGACTGTGGGAGAGACCGCCTTGGACTATCTATGCTCGGACTATCTACGCTCGGACTATCTACGCTCGGACTATCTACGCTCGGACTATCTACGCTCGGACTATCTACGCTCGAACTATCTATGCTCAGACTACATTCGGACGCGGAACTAGCGGTAGTCTTTCAGCTATAGTATATTTTGTTAGCAGTGCGTTGCTTTTGTTCCATTTCATCAGTGATTGTTATCAGCCTACAAGAAGTTGCACTAATGCTAATGTTAGCATATGTATCGGATCGCAAACAAAACTAGATGGCTCCGTGGGATGAGAGCGTAGGGGAAATGAGAAGCCCGTGAGCGAGTTGGGGGCGGTGCTAAACATTAAAACTGAAAAAAAATCCTGCAGAACGAGTATAGCTCCTTTAAGGCCAACCCATAAATACCCTGAGAGCCTGTCCTTGATACAAATGTCAGCGTTATCGGAGGAGAAACACGTGCAGTTGACAGGTTGAAGATGTTGACAAACCAGGACGCTGACCCCAAAGTCCATGCGTTTCATGTGGAGCTATAGGAGCCACTCGCAGGTTATCTGGGATTTTATAACCTCTGTCCACTGTCGTAAAGTTGTGTAAAACTGATACAGTATCTGCAGCGCTGTGGCAGCCAGTGTCAGAAATGGAGATGCATATTATGACAAGACAAGATACAGGAAACAGAACCAGTACACTGCATAAAGGGAGGAAAAATAAGTCAAAAATGGCGAGTAAAAGAGAAATGGTGATGTTTTAGCTCATTATTGGAAAAAAAGACACATACAGCATCTTTTTGAATGGTGGACCAAGTCACAGTATTGCGTGCTTGGATTTTCTGGTTTTCATGTCCATTCCTTCCATGCAATGTAAGGTGCATTGTAAAAAAAAATAAAAAATAAATAAATAAAAGATAACATATAAATACTTGCATCTAGCGGTTTTTATCTTAATTATACACATTCTCACTGTGTTAAACAAGATTCTCCAATGGGACAAAGCCCATAATAACTGCTCTTATTTTCTAGAACTGTTGCCTTATTTTCTCGTTGCAAGGGAGACATTTTGGTATTTTTGTTTGTTGTGTTGGCTCAGTCCTAATGTGTTCAAATGAAGATACCTTTTGCAAAACTTGAGCAATTCTTGACGTTTTTTCCTCACATTTTACTGTGTGCCTAGACGTTTTTTACTTTCAACCAATTCAATTCAAATCAATGCCAAATCGCCATTGACAGATCAAACAATCAAACACAGGCTGTAGACCCAGGACTGAGGCTGTAGACCCAGGACTGAGGCTGTAGATCCAGGACTGAGGCTGTAGACCCCGGACTGAGGCTGTAGACCCAGGACTGAGGCTGTAGACCCAGGACTGAGGCTGTAGACCCAGGACTGAGGCTGTAGATCCAGGACTGAGGCTGTAGATCCAGGACTGAGGCTGTAGATCCAGGACTGAGGCTGTAGATCCAGGACTGAGGCTGTAGATCCAGAACTGAGGCTGTAGATCCAGGACTGAGGCTGTAGACCCAGAACTGAGGCTGTAGATCCAGGACTGAGGCTGTAGACCCAGGACTGAGGCTGTAGATCCAGGACTGAGGCTGTAGATCCCAAATATTGTGCTGTTGATAATCAGTCTTATCAGAAAGCTTTGTTTTATTGCTTTATAAAATCGTTTATAACGGGAAACACAGTCCAGACACTTTCCAAATAAAAACAAGGAAAAATGGGAAATGAAAAAAAAAGTTCTTCCCCAGTGAAAAGATATAGTAACATTAAAAACATATTTAGTATATTCACTTCTCAGCATAGACAGCACATACAAATAGTTACTGATGGATCAATGGCAAAAAATAAGGCTGAGTTTACACGGAGACAATGTGGCAGTAAAACGGTATAGTTGGATGTCAGTTGCTACCAACCGTTCATACGAAGACTGTGTTTCAGGGGGGTGAAAACGTAAGTGTTCAGATCCAGCCTGCAGAGTGGGACAGCTCAGGCCCTGTTTATACTGCGACGCTGCGCAGACGTTTCCAGGCTATTAACAGAAACGACCTGGCTCCTAATGCAAATTTCTCAGGGTTCACATGAGGTTGAAAAACGATGTAGTTCTAGCGCCCGGCCAGTAGTGGGCAGAAAAACTTTACAACACTCACACGACCCCCAGCCCAGTGCCCAGCCCCCCTCTCGGCAGTGTACTCACTTCCTGTGCCAGACCCTCAGAAAGTACCAACATAATTCTGCATTTTAACAGTGTGTTAAGCTGTGAACATGGGAACTGAACCTAGAGCTTCGCGTGGTCTCGTTTGAACGAACGAAGAAGTAGAATTATCCTCAGTGCCGCGCTGGAAGCCCACGTAGTTAGTTAGTGCGCGCAGCGCCATTGTTGTTTTTGTTTGTTCTCCGCTGCTGCGCATGTCCAAATTTACGTGCGGGGAGCAGCGCGGAGGCGGGGGTCAGAGCAGAGGGGGATTTCACACCTATTCCCCTCTCGCGGCTGTGAAAGGGAGCCCCCGCTGTGCAGCGTTTCTGAGTTGTCCCACTCTGCAGGCTGGATCTGAACACTTACGTTTTCACCCCCCTGAAACACAGTCTTCGTATGAACGGTTGGTAGCAACTGACATTCAACTATACCGTTTTACTGCCACATTGTCTCCGTGTAAACTCAGCCTCAGAAACGCTGCACAGCAGGGAGCTCTTTCACAGCCGCGAGAGGGGAAAAGGTGTGAAATCCCCCTCTGCTCTGACCCCCGCCTCCGCGCTGCTCCCCGCACGTAAATTTGGACATGCGCAGCAGCGGAGAACAAACATCAACAACAATGGCGGCGGTCACACTAACTAGCTTCGTGGGCTTCCAGTGCGGGACAGAGGATAATTCTACTCCTTCGTTCGTCCAAACGAGACCATGCGAAGCTCTAGGTTCAGTTTCCATTTTCACAGCTGCTGTTAAAATGCAGAATGTTGTTGGTACTTTCTGAGGGTCTGGTACAGGAAGTGAGTATACTGCCGAGAGGGGGGCTGGGCACGGGGCTGGGGGTCGTGTGTTGTGTTGTAAAGTTTCTCTGCCCACTACTGGCTGGGCGCTAGAACTACATCGTTTTTCAACCTCATGTGAACGCTGAGAAATTTGCATTAGGAGCCAGGTCGTTTCTGTTAATAGCCTGGAAACGTCTGCGCAGCGTCTCAGTATAAACAGGGCCTAATTCTGTCCAATCAGGAAGTGGAGGTGGTGAAAATGGGCGGATCTAGCTGGTGGTTGCCTTTGAAAATTCTCTCACTTTAAAACTACATACAATAACTAGAATACGTAGCTTTTTTTGTGCTGCTTTTAATGGTTTTTGTTTTTAACTTAGTTTCTTATGTAAGGCGACCATGAGTGCCCAGAAAGGTGGAATGAAAATAAAATACATTATTTGTATTATTATTGAAAGAAGGGTATGTAATCTACTACTTTTATACGTGTTCCCAGATAAAAGGTCCTATGCACGAATCCTTCAGGTAGAAACAAATTGTTTATAGATGGATTATATTATTATTATTATTATTATATATATTGTATTTGAAAATGAGGTACCCCAGCTTTAAATGAAGCAGAAGTCCATAACAAGTTTATTTGTGATGAGTTTTCCTCTTGCTCCTTTGGGCCATCACCGTGACAACACGACACAGGCCCTGGTCCCTCTGAGCCGTCTCCCATGGCGACGTTTGTGGCGTTCATGGTTCCTTCAGAGAGAGACTAAAGAGAGAGACTAAAGAGACCACCAGTGACAAATCAGGGAGAGACCAGAAAGAGAGCTCGGCGAGAGAGACCAGAGAGAGAAGAGAGAGACCAGAGCGAGACCAAAGAGAGAGACAAGAGGGAGGCAAGAGAGAGACAAAAGAGAGACCAGAGGGAGAGACCAGAGAGAGAGTAAACTGTTAACGGTTATTAATGGCCTCTTGGTGTTAAGGCTGTTTTAAATAGTTACCACACACTGCCCCCTGCTGACCAGTTATAGTTTTGCAGACAGACTGCTTCTTCCTCAGAATAATAATGGAACACAACAATGATATTTCCAGTTTCAGGCTGTATTTTTACATTAGGGAATGCTTCAGAATGCTGTCTATAAAAACAAATAAACATAATAGTCTCACTCCACACAAATAGTCTTCTGTCTTTAAGCCTCCAAAATGACGTCTCCTAAATGTAACAATTGTGTCCCAAAAGTTCATTAACATTCTTCTTAAAGCCATTATTTTCATTGAATTGGTTATGAGTCCATCTGAGATTATATATTATGTATATGTATAAGCTACATAGTAGCTAATGATTAGGTACATTTTTGGTTCATACATTTATTTTATTGGCCCATTTTACAGTTTAGTGTAGATGGAGCAAATAATACAAATAAAATAAAAAAAATCATAGCATAATATTACAATAGTAGAGATTGTGGCTTCAATCTTTTTTCTGTATTTACTTACAAAACAAGCCTATCAAAGTAGGATCATGTATATCAAAGTCTATACATGATGTGGTCCTGGTGAATGATAGTGATCACATGATTGTGTATAAAACAGGTTTCTTGGTCCCGAACACCAGTCCTCGTGCCACTCGCTCCTCCCTCAGGGCCTTCCACAGGTGGTCCATGTCTCCTGGTCCACTCACGTTTGTTGTTGGTTCTGCTAAGTCTCTGCCTAAACGACAACAAACACAAGATCACAGTTATCTGGGTGTTCTGCCATGACATGTGGATTCAATAGGACAGCATGGTATAGCAACATGTTTCAGTGGGAAGGTATGTGTCAAGAGAGAGACCAGAGAGAGGGGCCAGAGTGAGAGAGCAGAGAGAGAGAGAGCAGAGAGAGAGAGCAGAGAGAGAGAGCAGAGAGAGAGAGCAGAGAGAGAGAGCAGAGAGAGAGAGCAGAGAGAGAGAGCAGAGAGAGAGAGCAGAGAGAGAGAGCAGAGAGAGAGAGCAAAGAGAGAGAGCAGAGAGAGAGACACCGGAGAGAAAGACCAGAGAGAGAGAGACACCGGAGAGAGTCTTCCCATGTTTAGTCCTGACTCTGGGACCAGCAGGAGGCCAGTCCCTGTGCTCCTCCAAGTCCCAGCAGGAGGCCAGTCCCTGTGCTCCTCAGAGTTGGTTCATATGGCACTAACATGTCACAGATGTACTTTTGTGCGAGGCGATGGAGAGACTGGTTTAAATTCTATTCTCTGAGCCACAGGAAGCAGAAACCTGAGAACTGGACTAATGCGATCGTACTTCCTGGTTCTTGTCAGGACTCAAGCTGCAGTGTTTTGAATATACTCGTTTGGAGAGACCAGTGAGCAGCCGTTTCAGCAGTGTTGTGCCAGTTCACAGCTTTTCTGAACTAGTTCAAGTTCAGTTCATACATGCTCAAAGTGAACAGTTCACGTTCAAAGTTCACATTTTTAATTCTGAACTAGTTCAAATTTCAGTTCATTTTACTTTTTTTGTGAGATATTCAAATAAATATTTTTTTCACACAAGCTAGAAATCACATTATATATATATAAGTATATATCCTGTACACCGCACAGGATGAGAGCCTTTTGACTCTAAAACAGACAAGATCTACATTGGGAGGAAAAAACTGAGTTGCCACTGCTCATAAGTGCTACAAACAGTAATGCGCTGCAGTGCGTGTGTCTATTCTTTATGTCAAATGTAAACGGGTGGTCCTGTGTCGCTAACTCACCCTTTGTTATCATCACAACTCGGGCACATGCGAGTCCAACAACAAAGAAAAGCAATAGCTCACAGCGCCGCACCGGCTGGCTCAACACGGAGTCGGGGTGCGTTCACAGACTGTAAACACCGTAGGAATTTTTAGTTTTCGGCGGAAAAAGTGCGGAGAATACAGGAGGGAGGAACTTTCTCTCGTTGTGTTTCAAAAGAGAAAACAAATTCCAACGTTTAAGAGATGTCTGCCGTTCATGACACATAATATGAACTAATTCACGTTCAAGTTTTTTATTAAAAAATTTGTTGCGTTCAGTTCAACGTTCACAAAAAAATGAGCGTGTTAAATGAACGCGTTCTTTTAAACTCGTTCACGCACAACACTGCGTTTCAGTAGTCTAACCTATTGAAGACAACCACATGGATAAGAATCTTCAAATCTGCTTTAGACCCTCCATCTTTGATCCTGGCCATGTCTATAGATGGTACAGTAGCACAATATGGTACTTGTCCTTTCCCTGGCCGGTCACCTGTCATGTGGAAGGCCTTGTTGTGGAGTTCGCTGACGACCACCGGGGGCCGGGTGCCGTAGGTGACGCAGGAGTACTGGTTCTGAGTGTCGGTGAGGGCCTCGAAGTGTAGGTACGCCTGCAGCAGAGCGTCCGGCGAAGGGAAAGCAGCGCCTTTGTTCGCCTTCAACGACTCCACGATTTGTCCAAAAGTGGTCTGGGCCTGAGGAAAAACCACACTTGTCACATTCATGGACATTTTATTAACATTTACGCACATTGGCCCCTATGTGTTTGGTGCTATTGCATTTCTTGTCTTTTTAAACTGTTTGATTCTCTGATCTGTTGTTGGCGAAACGTTAACTTTGTAAAGTCCTCAGAGATAGCGACTGTTGTGATTTAGGGCGATGCAAAACTACATTGATTTGAATTGAATCATGGACTCTTCATTTTGCTCTAAAAGATGTTAACATTCAGAGGTGGAAGTGTGAGAGAGACAGAGACTGGGAGGGAGAGACAGTGAAAGAGAGAGAGAGAGAGAGCGACTAGGAAAGGGAGCCAGAGTGCGAGAGAGAGAGAGAGACTAGGAAAGGGAGCCAGAGTGCGAGAGACAGAGAGAGTGAGTGAGAGACAGAGAGAGAGTCAGAGTGCGAGAGAAACAGAGAGAGTGAGACAGACAGAGAGAGAAAGAGTGTGAGAGAGACAGAGAGAGAGAGTGAGAGTCAGAGAGAGACAAAGCATGAAAGACAGAGACAGAAAGAGAGAGAGAGAGTGAGACCAGAGTCCAGAGAGAGAGAGTCCAGTGACAGAGCCTTAAATAATGCATGTGAAAACTAATTATCCAGAACCAAAGTATTGAGAGCGAGGAAATGGTCAGATGTATTTTATTGCATAGTGTACCCCAACTTTAACTGATGATGTCTTGGATGCAACAACAACAATGTCTTGGATGGAACAACCATATAAAGTGTATGTATCACTGGAAAAAACAACTAAGTGTGTAAACCTCAAGAGAGATGGACCTTTAATATAGTCCAAAGGTCTCGAAGCTTGCACAAAGAGTGAATCTGTAAAAATCACCTGCAGCGTGTTGCGGATCATGAGACAAAGGGGCAGATCCAGGAGCAGGTGATCGTTGAAGTTGTGCAGACCTTCTCCCCACTCCTGGTAGCGGTACGGGACTCCGCAGCGAGGGCAGAATTTATAATACGTGGAAACATCTGCAAATAAGGACAGTGGAGGAAACAAGTTAACATGGGAGCGAAATATAAAAAAAAGTATTATTATTATTATTACACCAAAGCTCCATCGCTATATAAGCCTCAGAGTAGTCTGGCAGTAGAGTTATTGTCTGGCAATTACTGTAGTCAAATATAAACCTCCTACATAAATAATATTAAACAAAAAGTGTAGCATGTACCTTGGAGAATCCTGGAGTACATCAGGATCTTGGCCTTGGGCGTGATGAGGACCGGTTGGCTCAGGGCGATCCCGTCGGCGCAGTAGAGGCAGTTTGTCTCTGCGGGGATGAGGTGTTGAGGGTAGTCCTTATCCACGGGCAGAGACAGGTGATCGGGGAGTAGCGCAGGGATCCGTTTGTTCAAGAGGAGAAACTGCACCATGCTCTTTATCATCTGCACGTCCTTGGGCGGGTAGGTGGCCGCGCTCACACTGGTCTCCATTGCCGCCACTATCGACTCGATGGATTCAATCGCTTCCATCGTCTCAATACTTTCCAACGGCGTATCTTCAACATCACTCTCCACTTCGCCTCCAGCTTTCTCCACGAGCGGCTTGGCCTTGGCTCGCCTCTTCCCGGACGGCGTCTTGGTTGGCGTTTTGCGCGGCTTGCTAGGACTCGGTTCCCTGCTGCTGCTGTTGAACAGATTTGGCTCGGTTTGGAACAAATGCCACCGCGCGACGTGTTTGTGGCCGCAGGTTTTCTTGGTGGTGGAGCAAGGACAGTACCAGACGTTTCGGCGCTCGTTATACGACACGATCACCCTTCGCAGGCGGCTGTAGATGAATATATTTGGCTCGTAGACTGAGACGAACTTCTTGGACGTCGGTTCGCCTAGCAACAGCTGGACCGAAAGCGGGACGTTGTGTTGCGTGGCTTGCACTTGCCGATCCACGCACATTTTAATCTTACTCTTCCCGACTACTTTTCTCTTTGCCATTTCTGTCAGAGAGGCTTGAGGGAGATCGACCGGAGACAGAAAAGTCCTACAATTCGCCACGGCCTGGAGGTGCTTGCATTTGCACGACTTTAGCTCGGCGCGCGCCAGCTCTAGCTTGCGTTGGCACAAGGTGGAATCGCACGCCACGCATTCGGTCTCTCCCTGCATGATAATCTGGACGTGGAGCGGCCGCGAAACACCGCAGATGACGTTGTGGACCGCGTAGATGCCGTTCTGCGGATCGACACACTCGCTCTTCAATGTGGACGAGATATCGGACTCTTGTAGCGAGTGCCAGCGTTCCATGTGCTTTTTCAGATTTTTCTTAAAACACACGACTTGGCATTTGGGGCACTTGGCGCGTTGGAGTCGCTTGGGTGCGTCTTTCAGCGTCAGTCTACGGTTTTTGAATGATGCAATGGCGAGTTCGGAGACGTCAAGACCCGGGGAATCTAAAGGCGTTGCGGTTACTACGGACGACTGGTCTTTGCTTTTGCACAGTTCTAAATGTCGGACAAAATCCATGGTTCTGAGGATGGTGGAGTTACAGAAGCAGCAGTGGTAGTGAGAGAGGCCTCGACACAGGAGGCGACAACGGTGGATGGTGGTATCTGAAAGACAACAACAAGACTGTGATAACCAAGTGGTAACAACCGATATATCTGAAAAGATTATTAGATTAGATTAGATTAGCCTGAAAGACAACAAAATGGTTAGACTATACTATTTTTAACTTCCTTGCACCTTGAGCCAAGGCCAATTCCTAGTTTGTGACTTCCTCTTACTCAAAATGGCAATAAAAACCATTCTGACCCGAGTCTATGATAACCAGGTGTTAAGTATCATTATATTTGAATAAATGAATGAAATGAAGGAATGAAAATCTTATGAAGACTTATATAAAACGTTTGACCCCTGTCCAACATTGCCAACAAAGGGTATAACTGAGGTCCAATTGGATAAAGGAGAAACGTGTTATAAATTTAATTAGCAATGTTAGATTTTCAGGTCAAGTCATCCTTAAATGGCCCTGATATGTCAAAAGGCATTAATAAAACATGTTCTTTTCCAAAACTTCTTTAACTGATAGTTCAGAGATATTTGAATTTCCAAATTACTTTTACAGCCCCTAAATCTTGTTATTGTTTTCATTTTGATGTCCCGCCGTTTCACCAATCAGAAAGTCTGTGATCCGGGTTGCCAGAACTGACCGCGTGGAGCTTATCTCACTGGTAAAGTACCATGTGACCGCAGAATTAAAAAAGGTCTCTTTATGATTCTCAAATCATTAAAGGAATAGTTCACCGTTTTTACATACTGACATATGTTCTTACCTTACCTTAGACTAGTTAATACGTACCTGTCTGGTCTTAGTCCGTGCGCTCTGTCATGCAAACGGAGCAAAAACAGGAGCACAAACGCAGCCTTCTCTGTATACTGTATAGTACCCAAAAGGTAGCTCCCGCTAGAAGCTACCAAACTCTTCCAAGTGTTCCCTATTAAATGTATATAGTTACGTGACGTGTTACACTGCAAAGTATAGTAACACAGAAATGTAACAGTCGATTTTCTCAGCGGATAAAACGGGTACTATATTGTGAGGCGTAGTAATCTGAGGTGCGCTACGTCCGCGCACTAACTTCTCTCCGGAGACTTCTCTCTCGCTCACTTCCGTCAATAGAAGCAGCGTGAATTGTAGTGCACACAGTAGCAGCGAGAGAGAAGTCTCCGGGGAGAAGTTAGTGCGCAGACGTAGCGCTCCTAACTTCTCTGCGCACTAACTTCTCTCCGGAGACTTCTCTCTCGCTGCTACTGTGTGCACTACAAGTCACGCTGCTTCTATTGACGGAAGTGAGCGAGAAAGAAGTCTCCGGAGAGAAGTTAGTGCGCGGACGTAGCGCTACTCAGATTACTACGCCTCACAATATAGTACCCGTTTTATCCGCTGAGAAAATCGACTGTTACATTTCTGTGTTACTATACTTTGCAGTGTAACACGTCACGTAACTATATACATTTAATAGGGAACACTTGGAAGAGTTTGGTAGCTTCTAGCGGGAGCTACCTTTTGGTCCTACACAGTATACAGAGGAGGCTGCATTTGTGCTCCCGTTTTTGCTCCGTTTGCATGACAGAGCGCACGGACTAAGACCAGACAGGTATGTATTAACTAGTCTAAGGTAAGGTAAGAACATATGTCAGTATGTAAAAACGGTGAACTATTCCTTTAATAACAAAACAAGGAATAAAGGAATAAAACCAGGATTTTGATCTTTGTGAAAAAGGTGTTGGTTATAAATTTGTTGTTGACAAAACTCTTGTCTATTCAGTTATTATGGTCCCAGCTGGATTCGTCAGCATATCTGGCAACCTGAGTCAGGGAGAGTGGGAGAGCCTGCAGTACCACTTTTGGCCAGATTTTTTACATACTGCTCCTTTAAGATCTTTGAGAGTTACTATAGTTACCAGGAACAATCTGTTGTACGATCACATACGTTACCTGTATATCTCACTGCGCTGTGTAAGTGTGTCTTCAGGTGACCCTCGATCCGTGACTTCTTGGTCGGCTGTAAGGCTTTAGGGGAGCAGAACGGACAGTGGAAATTGTTGCACGCAGAGCACTTCTGAAGGTCTGGAAGAGAATCACCTTTTTGAACTGAAATATGCACCTAGAGAAAGAAAGAGAGAAGCTAGATGTCACACTACCCCCATTGTCTAATAGATATGTGTTTTAATTCACAACTGCTGCTTTAGATGTAAACTAATAAGATAACATTTTTGTATAGCCCTAAATCACAACAGCAGTCGCCACATGAGACTTTGCAAAGTTGTTGATTCACCAACAGATCAGAGATTCAAGCAGTTTTAACACAGGAAATGCAATAATAACAAAAAGAAGCCATTGTTCCATAGGGAGTGGATGACCAATTTCTAGAAATGTTAATAAATGTCCATAATCGTCCTATAATCAGTATGATCCTAAATGTCGGATAATCACCTCCCTTACTTTTGAATGCACTGGAAACGGCTGCAAGTCGCTCTGAAACAGTTGTTGTTTTGAGTTTTAGAATTTTCATTTTTCTTGCTTCTTTCTACCTGAGATGTTGCTGCAGTACAGTGTTTATGGTTATGCACTGGTCCAGACCAGAGCAGAGAGGATTCATGGTCCTAACCAAGTGGAGCAGATGAAAATCCACTGGAGGAATGCTTTTTGAAAATTGCTAATGAAGCATTTAGCATTTTACTTTGGACTAGAGCGGAGAAAATGGTCTGAACCAAGCGGCTACACCACCTCTGCTGCTGTTGCTTATTATTACTATTGTTAGCTTTTTAGAATAATCAATTAATTGGTTTTGTTTGTGTGGATGGGTGTGTTTTTGCTGCTACTGGACACCTGAATTTCTCCGACGGGGATCAATAAAGTATCTAACTAACTAACTAACTTAGAACCTCCTGCATCGATATAGAACAACTTAAAAATCCAGTGGGAAGAAGTGAGAACCCCAGGGAGACAGACTGCAGATCCAGGACTGAGGCTAAAGAGGCTCATTCAATGTATCAACAAAACTACGCAAATTATGCCAAATAAATAATAATCATCATCATCATTCCACTCACAGTTTCAGAAGGTTTTTCATATTCTTGGACAGCAGAGCACGTCAGGCGAGTGGCGTCTCTCCTAAACCGTCGCACGACCCTTTTGGGAGTGGTTTTGCTGATGGACTCTGAGCTTTCTTCTGCGGCTGAAGGCGGCAGCGAAGCGGGGGCCGATGAGTCTTTGGTTTTGCACGTTTTCAAATGCAACTTAAAGTCGTACGTTCTTATGACCGTCTGGACGCAGTAAGGACAGTGGAAATGTGGCGTTGATCGGCAGGAGTGACGGCAGCGGTGAATTGTGTAGCCTGAGAGACAAGACAGAAGGAGAGACAGGAGAAAGAAGGATAGACAGGGGACAGAAGGAGAGACAGGGGACAGAAGGATAGACAGGGGACAGAAGGATAGACAGGGGACAGAAGGAGAGACAGGGGACAGAAGGATAGACAGGGGACAGAAGGAGAGACAGGGGACAGAAGGATAGACAGGGGACAGAAGGAGAGACAGGGGACAGAAGGATAGACAGGGGACAGAAGGATAGACAGGGGACAGAAGGAGAGACAGGGGACAGAAGGAGAGACAGGGGACAGAAGGATAGACAGGGGACAGAAGGAGAGATAGGGGACAGAAGGAGAGACAGGAGACATTACTTTGGTGGATTCTATGAATAATAATAGTTACTACTTATGTCTTTGAGTGTGCAAAAAGTGCTGCATATGTGTATATGTATGTGTGTATATATGTATGTATGTGTGTATGTGTATATGTACGTATGTATGTGTGTATATATGTGTGTAACTATTGAAAGACACCAGGAACAAAGCCAAGTAAAGAAATGTAGGAACAGTGGGTAGGAGCACAGAAGTTTTCTCCTTCCTGCTCCTTTTTGAGCCAAACCCTTTTTTTTATACTAATATATGCTGTAGAGATTCTCCCTGTACCTTTTTTTTTCTATACACAATGCATACAGTATATTTGCTTTACAAAATATATCATGCTATACAAAAAATACGAAGTTCTGTGATATTGTGTTAAGTAGTAGTTTTTGTGTGCAAATATGACCATGATTTCTAATGTATTATGTGTGTAACCTCACCATCATAGTGTATAGAAGTATGGCGGTGTCCCTGGGCCTCCGTCTTCGCCTTCGGACAGGGCTGCACACACTTGGGGCCACAGAGGGGACAGTGGTAATCCGTGCAACAATCTGTGCATCTCTTGACTTTTGGAAGAGCGTCGTCTCGTTGAACGTCCTCCTGGAGAGAGAGACAGAGTTTATCATCAGACTTTAAGAATAGTTCTCCACTGTGGCATGAAAACAGTTATATTTGCAGAGAGAGAATACAATCAAACCAGTACGCATCGAAAAATGTATATATACTGTTATAAAGAAGAACTGTTATGCATTATTTTTGGCTATTGAAAATGATAATTTGACTATTTACGTTTTGTCATTTAATGTCTTAGAATCTCTTGAAAATATATGGCGAAACTATTATGAAGAGAAACAACACTTCCTACCTCCTCCAGTAGACTGTACATTAGGAGTCACTTCGGTGTTAGCGCTAATGCGTAAGAAGCCGATTTGAAAGAAAGCTAGCTGGAGCATATTTCCTTATATGGGTATTTCTTCCGCGTCACTAGCTTTGCGCCGCGACACAGGCAGACTTGTTGCTAAGATGGTTGCTAGGGTAAGCTGGAGTTTCCCCCTCAAATAGAGGCATCTGATTGGTTAATTCTTATATGGCTCATAAATGTGAACTCCAGGTCCATAGAGCGCGCTTAACCAAAGATTTTGAAGCACAAAATGGTGAGTGTGACATATACGGTGACTGAGCTAGAGGAGTTCACTTTTCAATGCGAGTCAATAGGAGCCAGAGCGAGTAGGAGCAAAGCCACATCCATGAGCGCTTCGCTATTGGGCTTCATTGAGCTAGCGGGTTAGCATTGTCAATCTATATGCTGTCTATGGTATGTTAGTATTAGATCGCAATATGGCCTACGTGCAGGACTGTACAAGGACTCTGATTATTTTGACTATGATGTGCACTGTCTCTGTGTGACACGTATGTCTTTCGATGTGTTACGTGACAATGACTATATAAACTGTACTGACTCCATTCTGTCTGAGAGAAAGAAACAATGGAAACCACTGGAACTTGAGAGAAACTTAAATAAACTTCCAGAGTTTGGCGCACCACGATCCGTCTCTGTCTGCTTCATTCCTGACAGGTAACCATGGATCTATTATGATGGTAACTCACTACGCTACCACTGGCGGAGAATTTGTTGTGTTTTTTCAAAAATATGAAAATGACTGATTACTAACACAGACATGCGATCTTAGACAACATAATTCCACTTGAGAAATTGGCAGAACTAGTTTAAGGGTTATGCTTTTTTTGAGTGTGATGTCATAGTGGTACAATGACATCATACAAACACGGGAATGAGACAGGTGTTTTTAGACAGGGGCGGAGCTACCTTTTTGTACCAGAAGTTTCTTATAATAGCCTGGATGGATCTAAAAACAACTCCAGGTCTGTTTGTGATGAGGGAACAATGTTATAACATGATTAAAAGCTCAAAACAGTTGATTTTGCATAGTCTAGTTTCTGGCATAAGAAGCACAAATAACATCTCTAGCTTTAGCGTCATGAAGAAGCAAGAATTAAGAATAAAATCTCTGATGTTAGCACAGAAAAAGTATAAAGTATCTTGCATAATAAAGACTATATACAGAAAATAAATGACTATGCTAATGCAGTACAAGCTAACTTACTTCTTCATCTTCTCCAGTGTCAGGACTCGCCTCGTCTTCGTCATCGCACTTTTTCCTTTTCAAACGAACGGGTTTGATGGCGTCTAACTTCTTCGGCCTCTTGACAATGCCCTTTCTCGTCGGCGTCTTCTTGCGTTTCAGTGGTTTCGGTGGTTCCTTCGGCACTGGGGTCGAGGTCATGGGCTCTGGGGCTTCTACGTTGACTGGAGGCTGTTGTTCAGCCGCGTTCTCGGCGTTACATAGCTGCAAATGCCTCTGGAAGTCGCTCTTCCTCAGGACCGTGTTGCCGCAGTGGATGCAGTGATAGTGAGGCTGATGTCGACACTGGCGGCTGCAGCGGTGAATGGTGTAATCTGAAAGACAAAGAGGAATGACCTTTTACATTGTCATTTTATGTTTTGGGATGTGAAATAATATCTTCAGGATGCAGTCAGTGATTTTTTCCAGACGCATTTTTTTAAATATTGTGGGAAAACGTCCCTAAACCCTAAAAGTAGTCAAGTTATCATGTGTTTTCAAATAGTAATGGAATTAAACAGATGCCTAGTCTCCAAAAATTAATAAAAATTATTTTGGTGCGGACCGATAAAAATAAATCAATGCGATTCGTTCATCTACAGCGAAACAATGGGATGCGTTTACCCCCTTCACCCTCTTCCTATTTCCCGCGAGTGCCTGCACCTGAGTTATCGGATTTTCTAAAACTTAAAAGAAAATGCCAATTTCACGTTTGCCACCCACTCTCCCTGTTGTGACAAAGAAAAAAATGCTGGATGTTTGGTTTGGTGGAGAGGCGAGGAGAGGGGGGAGTGGTTTTGAGTTGGTGCTAACAAAATCGCTTACAATAGAGTGTGAAGGGCCATCAGTCTTTCTGTCTGCAAGTCCCCATGCTACCACTAGAGGGAAGGTGTTGGATTTAAATGTGTACATAAATACGTATTGACGCTCAACAGACACACCCTAAAGCCAAAGACTAAAGGTGAGTCACATACACCTACAGATAGAGACAAAGAGAGGGACAGAGAGAGAGACAAAGACAGAAAGAAAGACAGAGAGCGAGAGACAAAGACGGAGAGAGAGACTAAGAGAGACAGAGAGACAATCAGATAGAATGAGACAGACACAGAATGAGACAGACACACACACACACACACACTGGCCCCTCCCTCTTAAGGTTTTGTTTCTGCTGAAGTGAATCTCTTCTGCAGAAGATAGAGCAGAGCAGCACTCGGCCTCGGTCTGTCCCCTGTGTCTGGATTTACCAAAGGACCTGGTCCCTCTTCCCTGTGGACACAACTACTGCCTGAAGTGTGTCCAGCTACAACTGCTAACCTTTGAGGTGGGACGCACCAACATCTCACCAGCTCTGATCCGCATCCCGAACCAACCCAGGAGCAGAGAGGACTTCTTACAATATTTCACTGACTTCACCATGGACCCAAACACAGCTAAGAGTCATCTAGCGCTGTCTGACGGGGACAGAAGAGTAACAACAACAGATGAGGACCAGAAGTATCCGGATCACCAGGACAGATTCACTCACTGGCCTCAAGTCCTGAGCAGAGAGAGTGTGACAGGCCGCTGTTACTGGGAGGTGGAGTGGAAGGCGGAAGGTGGCGTCTGTCTTGCCATTTCATACAAATATATTGTGAGAAACGGAGAGAATAATATACCTGAAAGTAGATTAGGAAACAATACTAAATCCTGGGTTGCGGTGTGTGACACGACAGGCTATTCATCATGGTGGATCAAGAAAGCCTGGAGGATTTCAGGTCGAATCGGGTCCAGAATTGGTGTTTACCTGGACCACAGCGCCGGGGTTTTAACCTTTTATGATGTCGCTGAAAACATGAAGCTTGTTCATAGAATAGTGGCCAATTTTACTAAACCGCTTCATGTTGGAGTCAGGTTTTCTATCTATGACGTTGGAGACACTGTACATTTCCCTAAACTCAAATAACAATGTTTATCTTCACAGTTTGAAAACATATCAACCAGGATTTTTTTTTTACAAAAAGGAACAAATGATTCCAGTTGATTGAATTTTGAATATGTTGTGTTTGTACTTTTGGCTTGTATCCAAATGCCTCATGTGTCCTCACGCTGTCATGATGTGAGAGTCGTTTCTTATGTCTTTTAAAAACACTCCACAGTGAGATAATCTTTCACTGGTTTTCAATTGGTGAAGGCAAGACATTTAAAATCGCAATACAATCTTAAAAACTGTCAGTATTTGTGTGGCTTTTTATTCTTAATAATACCCTTAATGTCAGCAGTCAAAAGTTGCACATTGCACAGAACACGGCACTAGCTACCACAGACTGGTAAGTCTGTGGTAGCTAGTGCCGTGTTCTTCGGGGTTGCGTGTTGGGGCCAGTCTGACTTTCGAGAGACAGTAACCGGCTCGACAGGCTGATCCTCCCTGTACACCAACCACTGCACCTCCAGCCACGACTCTGTGAAGCTCTTCAACTTCGCGGACGACACCACCCTCATTGGACTCATCTCCAACAACGATGAGTCTGCCTACAGGAGAGAGTGCACCAGGACACCAGCTGGTGTCCTGGTGCAGTGGTAACAACCTGGAGCTGAACGCCCAGAAGACAGTGGAGATGATTGTGGACTTCAGGAAGAGCACTGTCCCCCCGCCCCCACCCTCCGTGATGGACTCCCCCATCACCTCTGTGGAGTCCTTCCGTTTCCTGGGCACCACCATCACCCAGGACCTCAAGTGGGAGCCGACCATCAGCTCCCTCATCAAGAAGGCCCAGCAGAGGATGTACTTCCTGCGGCAGCTCAGGAAAGCCAAGCTGCCTGCACAGATGTTGGTGCACTTCTACACGGCCATCATCGAGTCCATCATCACCTCCTCCATCACCGTGTGGTTCAGTGGAGCCACAGTCAGGGACAAACAGAGACTACAGCGCATTGTGCGCTCTGCAGAGAAGGTGACTGGCCGCAGCCTCCCATCGCTGCAGGACCTGTACGTCGCCCGAGCTCGAGGCCGGGCTGGTCGTATCACAGCCGACCCCTCACATCCCGCACATGGACTGTTCCAACCACTCCCCTCAGGCAGGAGACTGCGGTCCATCAGGACTAGAACCTCCCACCACAAGAACAGTTTCTTCCCCTCTGCCGTTGGACTCTTGAACTCTTCATAACCTGTCCCCCTGCCCCTTTAAGTCACCTTACTGTCCCCTATCAAGTCACTTTACTGCCCATCATAAAGTCACTTTACTGCTGTCGCCTTATTGCACTGCCTACTGCGCAGATTGTGTGCACCATGTGCACTTGCATATTGTACATAGTAACTGTAATTATTCTATTTTTTTTTTTTTAAATCTTTAGAAGTGAATGCTTATTTATTATGCCTTGCTCTATTCTCTTTTTTCTGACTGTTGCACTGAGCCAAAGCAATTTCAAAGTCTGTGACTTCATGTTACTTACGTGGCAATAAAAATCATTCTGATTCTGAAATGTGTCTCTGTGATGGGGAGAAGTGTGGACTCAGTGGGAGCTGTGCTGGAGGGAAGGATGAGGGCTCTAATGCAGGGCATCCTGGGTAACTCCAGACACACTCTGCATGACACTATGGCCGCTCAGAGGAGTAATCGAATCAACAGGCTCCAATCACTACGATGCGGAACGAAACGTTTCAAGAGATCCTTTGTTCCTCCGGCTGTCAGACTGTACAACAAACCTGACTAACTGTACAACAACAAAAAAGAGTCTTCTGCTGCTGGACACGTGAATTTCTCCTACTGAGACAAGAGAGGTCTGTATGTATACTGAGACGAGAGAGGTCTACATGTATACTGAGACAAGAGAGGTCTGTATGTATACTGAGACAAGAGAGGTCTGCATGTATACTGAGAAAGAGAGGTCTGTATGTATACTGAGACAAGAGAGGTCTGTATGTATACTGAGACAAGAGAGGTCTGTATGTATACTGAGACAAGAGAGGTCTGTATGTATACTGAGACAAGAGAGGTCTGCGTGTATACTGAGACATATCACTAACATGTCACAGATGTACTTCGGTGCGAAGTAAGACTAAGAAAAGACCCCGTACCGACCGGGATTTGAACCCAGGACCTTCTTGCTGAGAAGCGAGAGTGCTATCCACTCAGGCACTGTGCTGCCCATGCTTCCAATTCAAATTAAATCTTTAACTTTTCTATTTTGTCATATAATAAGCTAATAAGTTAAGAAAATGGGAAGAAATGCATCTCGGGACGGACCATATGGTGTGGACTGACCAAGTTCACCACCACAGGAAGATTATAGCTAGTGACAGTGAGGCTGATGTCGACACTGGCGGCTGCACCAGTGAATGGTGTAATCTGAGAGACAAAGAGCAATGACTTTTGACATTGTCATTTCATGTTTTGGGATGTTAAATAATATCTTCAGTTGACAATAGAGTGTGAAGGGCCATCAGTCTTTCTGCCTGCAAGTCCCCATGCTACCACTAGAGGGAGGGTTTGGATTTAAATGTGTACATACATATTGACGCTCAAGCCAACAGGCACACCCTAAAGCCAAAGACTAAAGGTGAATCACATGCACCTACAGAGAGAGAGAGACAAAGACAGAGAGAAAGAGAGAGAGACAGAGAGAGAGATGGAAAGAAATACAGAGAGCGAGAGACAGAGACAGAGCGAGAGACAGAGACAGAGACTGAGAGAGAGACAAAGACAGAGAAAGAGACAGAGAGACAAACAGATAGAATGAGACAGACACACACACACACACACTGGCCCCTCCCTCTTCTCTCCCTCTTATACATTTTGTTTCTGCTGAAGTGAATCTCTTCTGCAGAAGATGGCGCAGAGAGCAGAGCAGCACTCGGCCTCGGTCTGTCCCCTGTATCTGGATTTACCAAAGGACCTGGTCCCTTTTCCCTGTGGACACAACTACTGCCTGAAGTGTGTCCAGCTACAACTGCTAACCTTTGAGGTGGGACGCACCAACATCTCACCAGCTCTGATCCACATCCCGAACCAACCCAGGAGCAGAGAGGACTTCTTACAATATTTCACTGACTTCACCATGGACCCAAACACAGCTATGAGTCATCTAGCGCTGTCTGACGGGGACAGAAGAGTCACAACAACAGATGAGGACCAGAAGTATCCGGATCACCAGGACAGATTCAGTGACTGGCCTCAAGTCCTGAGCAGAGAGAGTGTGACAGGCCGCTGTTACTGGGAGGTGGAGTGGAAGGCAAAAGGTGGCGTCTTTCTTGCCGTTTCTTACAGAGATATTGTGAGGAACGGGGAGAATAATATAGATGAAAGTAGATTAGGAAACAATGATAGATCCTGGGTTGCATTGTGTGATGCGGCAGATAATCAAACGTGGTGGATCGAGGAAGACTGCAAGATTTCAAGTCCAATCGGGTCCAGAATTGGGGTTTACCTGGACCACAGCGCAGGAGTTTTAACCTTTTATGATGTCGCTGAAAACATTAAGCTTGTTCATAGAATAGTGGCCAATTTTACTAAACCGCTTCATGTTGGAGTCAGGTTTTCTGTCTATATCGCTGGAGACACTGTACATTTCCCTAAACTCAAATAACAATCGTTATCTTCACTGTTTGGAATTTGTAAAAAAAATCCTGGTTGATATGTTTTCAGTTGATTGAATTTTGAATGTGTTGTGTTTGAACTTTTGGCTTGTATCCAAATGTGTCCTCACGCTGTCATTAAAGTAAAAGTAGTTTTCTTATGTCTTTAAAAACACTCAAAAGTGAGATAATCTTTAACTGGTTTACAATTGGTGAAGGCAAAAAATTTAAAATTGCAATAAAAATCTTAAAATCTGTCAGTATTTGTGTGACTTTTTTATTCTTACAATCCAATACTGATCTACCGCACTTTCTGGACTATACTGTAAGGCGCACCCATATAAAAGTCGCACCACATGCATTTTAAAAGAAAATCAATTTTGTCCACATAGAGGCCACAGGTTTTCATGTTGTAATTTGGCAGATAGACGGCTATTTTAACTAGTCACAACATGTGGTCTGAGCCTCCATGTATACTGAGATAAGAGAGGTCTGCATGTATACTGAGACAAGAGAAGTTTGCATGTATACTGAGACAACAGCCCTTGTTACCTTCATGTTTGACTGCTCTGTTGAAGTGGAGATTCATATGAGCCTGGACTCTGGACTTCTTGTTGGGCAGGAACCAGGCTGGTCCACAGAAGGGACAGTGGAACAACGAACAGCAGTCTGTGCATCGATTTAACTCTGGAAGACTGCTGCCCTTTTGAATTGTGATGTCCATCTGGTGAAAGAAAAAAAGACAAACCCATTATCAAAACAAGTCCAGCTCTTCCTTCGAGACAAACAAATGTAACCGTAAAAGACCTAAAAATCAAGTTTTGTGTAATTCTGGTACATACAAAAGCTTATTTGAGCTTTGTTTCTTGAATTTTATGTACCTGTAAAAGATACATTGTAAGACTGCTCAAAAATCAGCAATTCTGGATCCTATCTTATTAAACAGGGTGACGGTGGCTCAGTTGGAAGAGCGTTGGCCTTTGAGCCTAAAGGTTGTGGGTACGATGCCCCCACGAGACCTTCTCCACTGACTCCCACTGGTGTCTGCTGTCGTTGTGTCCTTGGGCAAGACTCTTAACCCCACTTTGCCTGGAGCCCCTGCTGAAAGATCAAGGTTGTGCTCTCACCAACAGAGCAGCCATCCACCACTTGCAGGAGGATCAGTGAGGGTGCAACTGGGTGAATTGGGTGCAGCTCTGACAGATCTTAAAACACGTAAATATTAGATACCCATTTATTATTAGATATGGGTAGAAGTTTATAAATACATCCCAACAACAATGAATCTGCACTACATTCTAAAAGCCTTCAGAAGGGACTGGACATGCAAATGATTAGCTTGTATGCAACTACAAACTATATACGCCTTAAACTATGTAAATGTGAGATAGCTAGGGTTCATAATATGATATATGTAGGTTACGTCTAAATTAGCATCACACAGAATACTATCGTCTCCGTGATGAAATGAAATAGGTAAATGTAAACAATAATAAAGATGACAGCAGTCACGTTAGCATGCTAGGTAGAGTTAGCATGCCACTATGAACCAATGCTAGTGTTTTCAGACTCTGATGACTGCACTAAACACAGGGTTCCTTCGCTTGTTTGAATATGAATTGTTCTTGTTTTTATGAGATTTATTTTATAAGAAGGTGTTGCAATAAAATAGGTTTATGCCACTTACTGCTGTTGACGTTCGACTACTTATGTCTTTATGGTGAAGCCGCGTCTTTAGTCAGTGTCACCCCCTTGTTTTCAGGAAAGTCGTAGAGCTAAAATCAATGATCATAGGATAGTGTTAGGGTGAATATTTTTTGAAAATGTACATGCCATGGTCCAAGCTACTATAATCTTGAATTATTTTTGAAAAGGAAAAACCTCCAACATGATAGATGGCGGTAGAGTACAACATCCCTGCATCCAATTTCAACAAACATACCTCCTTGCTGTTATTTCCGAGAGCTGTCAAATGTATGGAAGAGACAGCTCCTGGTTTGATCAAGTGAACTTAAAACACATTTTGAATTATTGATTTATAATACCGCTGTAATTCCACAGACTTTACCTTTAGTCCTTTTCATGCACTGTGGATGTTTATGATATATAAATTAAAATTATGATTTTAATTTCCTGTATGATTTTAATGTTTCTAGGTTTTAGTACATTTTAATTTCTATGTTTTGGATACTTCTTGTGATCTTAATGTTGTATTCTTTTTATCCAATGGTTTAATGTTTTACGTAGATTATGATGTTTATGATTTATACTTGATGTGATATGGGTTGTAAGGTGCTTTGTGTTGCCTTGTGTATGAAACAACAACAAATAAAAGAATAAAATAAAATACAGTGAGCTAAAAAGAACGACGAAGGGGTAAATGTTATGATTTCGGATGCAACAATTTGCGTAATGACGTTGTGACGTGATGCCGCTATTCAGCTGTTGACAGAGGCGACCTCCAGCTCTAGTGCTTCTGTCCGCGGAGGATACACTCACACATGCCGGTTTTCGAGCACTGTCCCCGGGATCAGAGGAGGCCATGAGTACCCTGTGTCGGCTCATCCAGAGGGGGCTTCAGTGCGGGGGGCGGTCGTGTCGTTTCCTCCCCGGGATCCGTGCTCTTAGCTCGGTCAGGTATGTGTGATAGCTGCCCTGGCTAAATTATGCTGTCTGCTTCATGTTTTTCATCTCTTCCAGTCTGTTTTCGTTTAGCTTATTTTATTTTACAGTGTAGTGCTGCTGTTTGATAGGACCCTGTAAAGAGATTGACATATGTTAATGCCCTTGCATTAACATATGTCAATCTCTTTACAGGGTAATATGTTATGTTATATGTTAATGCAAGGCAAGGCAAGTTTATTTGTATAACACAGTGCAAACACAAGGTAATTCAAAGTGCTGAACCAACCAAGGCATCAAAGGCTTTAAAACCATAAATAATCACAGTGTATAAAAAAGAGCGAAGATACAATCCTTCAGTTCATCACAGCTAAACAGAACTGTATTAATCTGGATTTAAACTTTGGCAATGTAGAATCCTGTTTCCCATTTTCAGGAAGACTATTCTAGATTTTAGCCTCATCTGAAACGCTGCCTTCCCATAATCTCTCTGTGTGTTATTGTATTTAAGATTTGTTTTGTGGCAATCATTCCAGATTTTATCTGACATATTTACAGTTTTGATGATTATTATTGCGTGTATTTTAAGCTTGTGCAAGTAGTGATTTAACAATGGAGTACAGTGGTTATACATTTTTAAACATTGTCTAAAGAGACATTGACTGGGGAGGTGTTCACTGTACGGAGGCCGCCGGAGAAGACCCAGGACAGGTTGGAGGGACTATGTCTCCCCCAGCTGGCCTGGGATTGCCCTGGATGAGCTGGAGAAAGTGTGTGTGTGGAGGGAAGTCCGGGCTTCTCTTCTTTGACTGCTGTCCTCGCAATCTGGCAATGGATGAAGCAGAAGAATATGGATGGACAGCATCTTTGCACTCTGTCTTATTGAGAGAACCTTCTAAGCTTGAAACATAATGAAAATTGTCATGAACTTTTTAATGAACTCTGCAACTGGTATTTACCATAGTTACCAGAGCACATAGAGGCCACATTGGTCCAGTGTAATAACCCTAACCCTGAGTCAGGTTTGTGCTGTGTCCTGGGTACCTCACATAGCAAATATTCTTTTGTATCGAGATCAGCACTTTGCGATGGCTGCTTCAAAACATTGACCTTCTCCTTAAGCCAATTTGTAGCTACTTCTGCCCGAATGCTTGAGGTCATCGTTCATTTATACACAATTCAAAACCTTTTTTTTTGAGACATTGGTTCCATATATTCTCATTATGCTCTTTTCTCAAGATGTGGTCCACAACAAGAGACTGCCCCAGTTCTGGTTCAGAGTCGGGATGGTGTTCTCTGCCCTTAAAGCTTCCCTCCTTTGTTCCTCCAAATTTAGCAAGTCATTATGGATAAGCAATTGCACTTTAGTTCAGGGCTCAAACCATTAATCACTTAAGCACTTGCTTCACTTGGAGCCGTTTGTCTGCAGAGCGAACACTGCACCAAATGTGTCTAATGCTTTTGGAACGATAATATCTGTCAGAAATTCCTTATCTATTTTTAACAATGAATCAGACGTAAACTTGGTATGCTTAAAAGATCTTATAGTTAATAGATTACTCTTTTAACCAAAAAGGATAAAGGATAACATTTGTGTATTTTAATAGGATTGTTTTTGCATAACTGATTTAAATCTACTACATATAGTTTTTTCTCTGGTGTAAAAAAAAAAAATCTTTATCATATGTTTTCCCTCAGTGCGGTGAACTTAACCTATGACGTGTTCGATGGGAAGAATGATGGCACTCCTCTGGTGTTTCTTCACGGCCTTTTCGGAAGCAAATCCAACTTCCACTCCATCGCCAAGTCCCTGGTGCAGCGGACGGGTCGAAAGGTAACGCTGTAACGAAATAGTCCACACGCAGATGTGTCGTTCTTTTCTCTGTGGATGAGTCGGTCTGATCTGTTTTTAACCTGGATTTTCACGTTTTCAGGAAGACTGTTCCAGATTTTAGCTGCGGAAATCTGAATTGCTGCTTCCCTATGTTTGGATGGGGAAGCAGAGTCAGGACTAACAGATGTTTAGTCCTGACTCTGGGACCAGCAGGAGGCCAGTCCCTGTGCTCCTCAGAGTCCCAGCAGGAGGCTAGTCCCTGTGCTCCTCAGAGTCCCAGCAGGAGGCCAGTCCCTGTGCCCCTCAGAGTCCCAGTTGGTTTATATGGCACTAACATGTCACAGATGTACTGTAGTTTACAGTCAGTACTTTTTACTTGATTACATATTCCATTAATCTGTTACAAGGATTCACTAGTCACTTTACCTGCTGCTATTGTTACTATTGTTTATCTGGTCATATTCTCTGCTGCTACAATCCAATACCAACCATTTGTAAAACCTCATGATGCTAACTACAGTGTTCATACTCTACAAGTGACTCATCTTTGACCCAAGTTCCATTTTTATCTTATTATTCTATTATCTATTATCTTGAAGAAGCATTATGTAAGATGTGCATGTCAAGTCATCATTAAAGGGCCCTAATCTGTCAAAAGGCATTAATAAAACATTTTCCAATACTTCTTTAACTGAGAACAGTAGTTCACAGATATTTGAATTTAAACTTTTACAGCCCCTAAATCTTGTCATTGTTTTCATTTCGATGTCCCGCCCTCCACTGTTTAACCAATCAGAAAGTCTGTGATCCGGGTTGCCAGAACTCACCGCGTCGTGCTAATCTCACTGGTGAAGTAACATGTCAGTTGACAAAACTGTCCATTCAGTTTTTATTATTGTGTTCCCAGCTGGATTAGTCTGCATATCTGGCAACCTGAGTCAGGGAGAGTGAGAGAGGTTGCAGTACAACTTTTGGCCAGATTTTTGAATACTGCTCCTTTAAATAATAGATCCTGTTTGATGTGTGCTCTTATTTCTCATTCTAAATTTGAAATCCTTATCTTTATGAATGTAAACCTTGTTGGCGTCATCTCTGAGAGTGACCCCGCCCCCTCAAAGAGCCTTGTCCCGCTCACACCCGTCCTGTGTCAGATAGGTGGTGACGGTTGATGCCCGTAACCATGGCAGCAGTCCCCACAGCCCGGAGCTCACGTACGAGGCCATGAGTGCGGACCTGAAGCAGCTCCTGTCCCAGCTGAAGATCGACCGCTGCGTCCTCATCGGTCACAGCATGGGAGGGAAGACCGCCATGGCCACTGCCCTGACGCAGGTGAGAGAGGCCTGGAGGTTTGGTTTGTGTGTTATAAGGTTTTATTATAGACCTGGAAAGTGAAATTAGAGGGAATAACTTGGCCTGTCACGATTCATTCATTCATTTTCTACCCCTTTGTTAAACCATTTCTGGGTCGAGGGGGTGGCAAACCAAGCCGTCAACCCTAGCTCCATAGCAACCAGTACCTCACTGATCCTCCGGCAAGTGGTGGGTCCACGGGAGAATGGTTTGCAATGCCATAGCCTTTGGTCTTTCGGGGGGGGGGGGGGGCTTCAGGTAAAGTGGGGTGAAGTGTCTGACCCAGGGACAAAACAACAGCAGACCTCAGTGGGAGCAGATGGCTATTCCATTCCAGTCCCGAAGACAAATGGTCTACCAACTGAGCCACTGTCGTCACGATTGTAGTCGCTCATTTAGAAAATCACAGTGAGGCCGAGGTGAAAGGTTTCTTACACTGAAGACCAGACATCATCCAGTGCATTTATAAAAAGTATATATAGGAGGATTGTCTACTACTATTGGTCTTCCCAATTGTCACTCATTCTGGTGATACGTGCTCGTCAGATAAGACCAGAGAGTTTTGTTCAAAAAGTGGAGAGGGCGGTTCTTTCATAAAATGTGTGAAAATCCTCCTAATATACCTTTTCAACAAAACCAAAAAAATAACATTAGTCTCTGTGGCAGCAGGTTGAATATGTGTCTGCTCCCACACCTGAGCTCAACTCCAAACTGATACAATACTATTTATTCTTGTATAGTCCTAAATCACAACAGCATCATCTCAGAGGACTTAACAAAACCATTGAAAACACCAACACAGATCAGAGAATCAACAGTTAAGACGCACATCAGATGTGTCTAAACATTGTCATAGAAGAAGCCTGTCTCACATTTTCCAGAACACTGTTCCATGTTCCAGATTTTAGCTGCATAAATCTAAAACATTGCCTCTTAGTCCTGACCTGGGGCTCACAGTCCCAGCAGGAGGCCAGTCCCTGTGCTCCTCACAGTCCCAGCAGGAGGCCAGTCCCTGTGCTCCTCACAGTCCCAGCAGGAGGCCAGTCCCTGTGCTCCTCACAGTCCCAGCAGGAGGCCAGTCCCTGTGCTCCTCACAGTCCCAGCAGGAGGCCAGTCCCTGTGCTCCTCACAGTCCCAGCAGGAAGCCAGTCCCTGTGCTCCTCAGAGTTGGTTCATATGGCACCAACATGTCACACAATGGTGTAGGTTTGGTTCCAATCTTGGTGGGGACATTCACTACGACCTGAGTCTACACCCATTGACACGGGGTCCAGAGTTTCTCCCCCAGAATTTGTTGTGTAATCACACACTATATTTGCAATAGTGTGTTGCCTTCTATACTAAACTCAGCTGTAGACTGAATGAGAAGCAGTTAAGGATTTTTTCTAATAGTTAAAACAAAATCAATTGGATCAGAGCTTCTGAGTTTTGTGTTGCGTTCATTCTAACTTTGTCCACAAGATGGCTTAAATGTTTATAGTAAATAAGATAGTAAATATATCCTGTATTCAGGATCAGGCTGATATGGTTTACAACCTATCTCAAATATGCTGTCCCTGGCACTTTCTTGAGAGTGACTCTCATTGGCTGCCTCCTAAATAGCAAATACACTGTTATGAAACTTTAAAAAATCCCATATTTTATCTTCATAATTCCAGCCTCACCTGAAGCCCAGCTTCGATATCTGCCTGCACTACATCTTCCCTGAATACCTGAGTTCCCTATAATAAATAAAACACATGTAGTACATTAAACAAATCAGATCTAAGCATATACAAAATAAAACCACCAACAAAACCAAATAAATACTTTCAACCTCACCTGAAGCCCTGAAGGTCCAGCCACTTCCTCATCCTCTACCAGCACTGCACATTCCCTGTTTGTCTGACTTTCCTTTATGGTATTAATAAAAACACACATTCTACATTGAATAAAATGAAACCTAGGCATGGTACACCAGTCGCTAAATATCTCATGAAACTAGAATTGGTTGATGGGTCTAAGATTTTAACTGCTTAATCCTAACCTCACCTGGAGTCCTGTCTTGTCCTTGTCTTTATCTCCTTCTTGAATTTCCATTATATTTCTCAGAGTGTCCTATATTTAGTAAAAGATTTCAGACAACACTTTTTGAATCATTATAGTAGTAAAATATGTTGTAATTGGCATAGGTAATTTCCAACCAAATGATGTTCTTTAACTTTAGTATGATTCTATACTGACTTAAACCTAATCCAAATCTACATAATAGCCCTCACCTGAGGCTCTAACAGTTCAGGAACTGCTCTCGATACTTGAAATAAATCATGCTCTGATCTTTCAATTTCCTATAATAAATATTATAATAAAAATATTGAATTAGAATCTACAGTGAGTAGCTCACTACATTGTTTGACATATACGATCAATCTCTAAAAACAATTCATAGTCCCATGCATACCTACAAAATTCCAACCTCACCTGATGCACTGAAGGGCCTGTTGCTTCTACCTCAACATTCCCTATATTGTTCTCTCTTGTTGGTTGAGTTTCCTATGTATGTTAACAGAAGATTAATCATCACAATTCATAATTTGCTATTACTTGTGCTTTCTCTTACTTACTTTCCAACTGTTAAAAAAGCTCCTGATATCTTTTATCTTTTTTTGTGGAGGTGGCATTTTTTCTAAATTATATTAGAAGGTATAGACAATCAAAAACAGACATTCATATACATGAACTGCAGAATCATTTATATAACTTGGCCAATGTCAAAAGTTACATAGTATTTCTCAATACAATGAGTTAACAAGTGTTTGGCAATAAGTAACAGTGTGGATTTTTCTATATTTTCTTTTTTTTATTCCACTCTCAACCCAAAAAGGCAACTAATGACTCACAGGGCTCTCAAGTATGCAAAATAAAAACTTAAATGACCTGTTGTGGTGTGTTTTGCGCACAACCAGCATGCATCGTTAACGCAATGGAAAATTCAGGTATCCGAGCTTTAATTTCGGGAGCGCTGGTTGCGCTTTGGGAAGAGTCAGGGGAGAGACATGTCAGAGACACAGGGGAGAAACGGGGGAGATACGAGGGAGACCCGCACTTGCAACATGGTTCTGTCTGCATATGGTCCGAGCTCGGTACCATGTTAGAGCTGTGCTTTCACTGAGCGCCGCGGCTGTCATTACAAAGCGGCAGCAGCTGCACCAGGACGTGCACATTCGAGTGCATCGCTTGAATGTGCTTAGAGCAAATAACAGCAAGTGCCCGCTGTCACACATTTCACAGAAATCACATTATCAGCAGATAAAGGTTGTAAATCGTGGATCCGTGGAATATTTTCATCCCTAGTTTATCCTGATTCACACAACACACCCACTTATACATTTCGGATAGTAAGAGCACAATAAGTATTTTTTCAGCCTTTCAACCAACCTGTTTCTTTATTGGAGCCAGTTCTGTTCTGTCTCTGTGCCGTGTGAGCTCCTCGGAACATTAAACAGTGCGCTGACAGATTAAAAATAACGTAAGTACTTTGAATGGTAATAGATCTACAGTACTTTCCTCTGATTACTCACGTGCTACAACGCTCAGGGAAAGAAAAAAAACACTTGCTTCACGCTGGCTAACTTTTAAAAATTAAACAGTCGCTCAGTGCTTCAGTTTGGCGCTGAAGAAGACAGCCAATCACTGCAGAGAACGGAACGGGTCACGTGCTGCTGCTGCTGCTGTTGCTCTGGAGGCGAGGAGGAGGCGCGACGTGTGCCCAAACGGAAGACATGTGTCCCGGACCGTCCGGGTCACGGGACATCATGTCATTTTGGTGGGGACTTTTTAGTCCTCACCAAATATTGGTGGGGACATGTCCCCATGGTCCCCACGCAAACCTACGCCCTTGATGTCACAGATGTACTTTGGTGCGAGACCCTGGAGAGACTTGTAACAAACAGATCTGCTTTAAAGTCTATTCTCTGAGCCACAAGAAGCAGAGACCTGAGAACTGGACTAATGTAATTGTACTTCCTGGATCAAGCTAGCCTTCAAACCTACATCACACCATTTTTATATAAATATACCTTGGATTCTTTGCTTCTTTGCTGGATTTGAGTGCTGACCAGTCCACAGTTCAAAGATCCCAGACAAAGAAACTTTCAGAATAAACCAAAAACATCCTAAAGTGTTTCAAACCAAGTGGACTTTGAATTTTTGTTTTCCTGTTTGTATACACGTGCAGGTTTGACATATGTTTATGTGTGTGTTTTAGTCTAGTTTAGTGGAGCAGCTTGTGGTGGTGGACATCAGCCCGTCTCAGAGCGCCACTCGCACAAACTTCAGGTTCTACATCCAGGCCATGCAGAACGTGAAGATCTCCTCAGATATTCCCCGCTCCACCGCCCGCAGGATGGCCGAGGACCAGCTGCGCAGCTCCGTCAAGGTCCCACACACCAGCAAACACACATCCTGACCAGCAAACACACATCCTGACCAGCAAACACACATCCTGACCAGCAAACACACATCCTGATCATCAAATCCTGATTAAGATTCAGATTAACTTGGAAGTAAAACCACATAGATAGATAGATACTTTATTGATCACCGTAGGAGAAATTCAGGGGTCCAGTCGCAGAAAAAATAAAGAATAAAATTGATGATTCTAAAAAGCTAACCATAATAATAATCAACAACAGCCCTTCAGGTCACAGCAGCAGAGGTGGAGTAGCCGCTTGGTTCTGACCATTTTCTCTGCTCTAGTCCAAAGTCAAAAGCCGAATGCTTCGTTTATAGTTTTCAAAAAGTTAGCATTCCTCTACTGGATTTTCACCTGATATGCTTTTGTTCGGACCATGAATCCTCTCTGCTCTGGTCTGGACCAGTGCAAAACCATGAACACTGTACTGCATCAACATCTCAGGCAGAAAAAAGCAAGAAAAATAACTATTGTAAAACACAAAACAACAACTGTTTCAGAGCCACTTAGGACTTGCAGCCATTTTCCAGTGCATTCAAAAATAAATTGAAATACATGTGCAGAAGTGACAAGTGTTCTGCTTTTTTGTCTAGAATAAGAAAGAAAAAATTCATGTGAAACAAAACAAAAATATGTATATACCTCTTTGGGTCACTTTTCTCATCAAACTGCATCTCAACCATTTTGTAAAGGCCTAGAATACAAACAATAGTGGTTAAAAAACAACAGTGTTCCTACATCCTCATTGACTGCCTCCCGTTTTTGATGATTTCACTGATTCTCAAGACCCACAGAATATTTTTTCCTAAGACTATATGTGAAATATGAAACCAGATTCTGAAAGATTGGATTGTCTACTTTGATCAGCAAAAATAAAAAAAATTCTGGCTATTATTATTGTCCTGTAATCCCCAGTCGAATTGAGGGTCTCAGACAAATACATCAATGGCAGTCAATGAATTAAGGAGTGAACGATGAAGGGTTAAAACAGTTGAACCCTAACACTACCTCACACACCGACTGTAATTGTAAATATAGTAATAAATGATAACGACAGTATTTTATATTTTTCCCAGGAACACTCGGTGCGTCAGTTTCTTCTCACAAACCTGATCGAGCTGAACGGACACTACGCCTGGAGAGTGAACTTAGACGCCATCTCCGCTCACCTGGAAACCCTGCTCAGTTTCCCTCTGTTCGAGACACCGTACCAGGGGCCCACGCTGTTCCTGGGAGGAGCCAGCTCTGCCTACATCAGGTACCTGCTGCTTATGGTATTTGTCTCTGATTGGTCAAAGAATAGATGTCTACTCTATTTTACTCTTCTCTATTCTACTGTACTCTACTATATTCCCATTCTACTCTATTCTTGCGTACTCTATTTTTTTTATTATATTTTTTCTCTTATACTTCATTTTTGAGTTTTTGCCTTTGGAATTCAAGGAGGAAGTCATAATTATTTGTATTTTTTTTTTTTTACTTTTTTTACTTTTTTTTGTTTTATAAGGCAACATTTATAATACAAAGAAAGTATTACATGAAATGAAAAAAAATAAAACAATTAAAACCAAAAATAAATACAAAAAATAATAATTATAATAAAATAGTAGTAATAATAATTTAAAAAAAAAGTTGTATGTATTAAATATATATATATATATATATATACTACACACATACCCACCTCCCCTCCCCGCACCCACGAAGCTATCGCCCCCCACTACCCCATACCCACTGTTGTTTACAGAGCTAGCTTCTCATGGATAGATCCATGTATGGATTGCACATTTGATCGTGGATGTCGTGACCATAGAATGATAGAACCAGGAAGCGCGGAGAGGACGAGACTTTCTTTTGGATGGCCGCTTTTTGTGCTAACAGCTGTCTGCGCTAACAAGAGACCTGTGACTTTTCTCATGAAAGTGGGGGCCAGTGGTCCGCTGTGATTGGTCACAATCAGGACCCAAAAAAAATTCTCTTCCTTGCTGCTCAAAAACTCGATCTAAAATAAAATGACACGCCAGCTCAAATCTGGGCTACTTTTTCTTCAAAAGGACGTATATCCCAATGCATTGCATGGATATGGATTGCATTTTCGCAATGAATACAAAAATAAAGTCAGTTAGTGCAGCTTTAACTCACGATTGTTACGGGTTTTATCTCACATGTTTATATTCTTCTGATGTCCTCCTTAAACATAAAAAAGTAATCCAACCTTGAATATATCTTGTGTGCTTCTGAGTAGAATGTGTATTTCCTTTCTTGAGAATTTAGATTTCTCCAGCAATCAACTAAGCCCAGCTCCTTTTCAGCTCTTTTCAGTGAAGCTGCAGTTTTTCCTGCCCTTTTTGTCTTTATCCTTTTGCACTGTATGAACGTGTTTGTATGACTGTGTAGTTTGTCTACAAGGTAGACAAACACAGTAGACAAACACAGGTAGTTTGTTATTATGATTTTCTCTCCAGCTCTGACGATTACCCCGAGATCGAGCGGCTCTTTCCCCTCGCGGACATCCAGTACATCCCAGACGCCAGCCACTGGATCCACGCCGACAAACCCCTGGACTTCATCAGCTCCATCGTCTCCTTCCTACACTCAAAATAACTACTACTACTACTACTACTACTACTACTACTACTACTACTACTACTACTGGTCATCCATCCATCTTCTTCCGCTTTATCTTGGGGGAATACCAAGACATTCCCAGGCGAGCTGAGAGACGTACACTTTTTCCTAGTCCTTCTAAGGAGCAGTAAAAGTTTTAAAGGTGCACCTGTATTGATCCCATAGGGCAATTCATCCTCTGCATTTGACCCATCCTGATGCCGCTATGTAGGAAATGATGGTATCTGATTTGAAAGAAGGTCCAACAGTCTCTCAGACCTCTTATCTCTATTTCTCCAGAAGAAACGTACTGTATTTTATCCTATCGTAACTGCGGCCATGTATTAGAGAGATCACCAAAATCTCATTCTACTCCTGCTACTGCTGCTACTGCTGCTACTGTTACTACGGTTACTACTGTTACTACTCAGTGGGAGGTGGGTAATATATAAACAAAAATATATAATAACAAATGCTTTCGAGATTTGCAAACTTTGGCACAGACAGAAAATACACAAAAAACGTTGAATGAAAAAAAATATTGATATAACTCGTCCGTTCATCCATTTACTTCCGCTTTATCCGTTGCCGGGTCGTGGGGGCAGCAGTTTAAGCAGAGACCCCCAGACTTTCCTCTCCATACACAGATTGTCCAGCTCATCTGGGGGAATCCTGAGGCGTTCCCAGGCCAGCTGAGAGAGACAGACCCTCCAGTGTGGCCTGGGTCTCCTCCCAGTGGGACATGCAGAGCTCTGACTGTAGACACTTCTCCCTCTTCCCCACAACAGTCCGATACACACTGCAGTGAACTCCAAAATCTATAATAATTACATTTTTTTGCAAATATTGAACGTCAAAACATCTAGAAAGACATTTTGCCACATTTTAGTCCTTCTACTTCATCTACAATTACTACTACTATTACTACTACTATTACTGCTACTAGTCCTTCTGGAATTGCCACAATATTCATCTCCGTACGTCGCTGCAAATCTATGCTGGACCAAACGTCTTCTATATTTTTTATCAGTCTCTAAATAAAAATGTGCTGCATTTTTTAAAGCATTTTAGTGTTGAGTGTTTGTAGTGTAGCTAGATCTATTATATAAATAAAATAAATTCTATACATGTAGTAGCTGTAGATATAGCAGAGAATACTGTTGTGTGTGTCATGTCCTAACCCAAAGATTGCAAACTTCTTCCTCACGGTTTAAGGTAGAGATCGACAAATATATCTGGACTTATTATTTATTTATTTTTTCAGTTTTTGAAATATCGGTCAAAAACCTCCGAGTGAATTTTAAGGTTATTTTCTCAGGAAATAAACCACATAATTGATTTTACTCAAAACAAAATCAATCACAAAACGTATTAACATTAAATATATGTATTTTAGTATACTGTACTCTCTGGACTATAAGGCACATCAGTGATATTTAAAATAAAGTACATTTTGTCCATTTATATGCCACACTTGGGATATAAGCCGCCATTTGAATAGCTAGCTACAAAAATTAGGAGTCAAAATAAGTCCATGAACTGATATAAATACATTTTCATAGATTAGCCGCATCGCTATATAAGCCACAGGGTCCAAAGAAGTAGAAAAAAGTTGCATCTTATAGTCTGGAAATTACGGTATGTGTTTTCGAAGGCACTAAAAATTATCTTTTGTGAATCAGTCGACGCTCCAAAACTGAAGGTAAGAAAAATCTACCAAACAAGAATATCCAAACGTATTCAATTAAATGAACATATTTGTTCAAAATACCTCCATAATGTGAAGTAAAAACTAAAAATAACCTCAAATACAAAATATTAGCTGTAAACAAAAAAACAGAAAATACTTGATACCTCTGAGGTTTGGTTCTCTCCTTTAAATGAAACCTTCTCCCTCAATATACGGTTTTAGCCATTCTGAAATAACCTTGACACATTAGCATTAGCATTATCTCATTTACCCAGCAGTACAAAAAAAAGAAAAACCTATAAAGAGATCAGTGTTGCAGCACAGGTTACAGAACACAAGTGAATATTTAATTTAGCACTACTCCATACTAAAAAAATACATAATAAATACATTACAAAAATTAAAATCTTTAAGATAAGATCAAACTTTATTGATCTTGACAATGGAAGAAATATACACTTTACTATTAAAACACTAAACCGACACCTAAATACTCTGGTGCCAAGATATATACACTTAAATGTATTAATGATATGTGTTTAAGTTAAATTAGCTTTTGAGAATCGACAAATTCAGACAAATTGTTTTGGTAAATCTCTAATATAATTTAATGTAAATTGGGATTAGCTCAATTTTGGTTTTTAATGAAATGGTTAAAGATGTCTCCATTTATTTGCAAGTAAAACATTCGGGAGATGCACAAACAAGTGTAATTGTTGTTTTTAATGTTTAAACTTGACTAGGGCTGTGCTTTATGCTACACCAGGGGTTTCCAACCTAAAGCCAGGGAGAAATTCAATTTAATTTTTTTGTTTGCATTCCCATTCAATTCAATTTCAATATACATTTTTTTCAATTCCAATTCAGTTTAAATCCAATTAAATTCCATTTCTTTCATTTCAATTCAATTTTGATTCTATTTCAGTTCAGTTTTAGTTCAACTTCAATTCAATTTCCTTCAATTTCTATTTCTTTCATTTCAATTTCTTTCAATTCAATTTCAATTCAGTTTTAATTTAATTTCAATTCAATTTCAAGTCTTTAAATGTCTTTCATTTCAATTTCATTTCATTTCAAATTCAATGAAGGTTTAATTAAATTTTAATTCATTTTTAATTCAATTTAATTTAATTTTTAATTCAATTTCTATTCAGTTTTAATTCAAATTCATATAGTATATAGATGTGAACGAGCCTGATATTGGGTACAGTCCTTATTTATCATCACATATTTGTTACTAGTGACAAAGTAAGTGCATTTAAAATAATAAATAATGAGAATGAGTAAGACAATCTGAAATATTAAATGTATTCTTTAATTTGTCCATTTCTTAATCCTTTGGCGAGCTACCTGGAAGGCGGTGGTGAGCTACTGGTGGCTCCCAAGCTACAGGTTGGAGACCTCTTGCTCTACACAGTGCTCTCTTTGTGGTTACTATGGTTACTGCTGCATTTACGGCGATGTCTGATGTGGTTTTTAACGTTGTACACTGGTTTTCGGCCTCTACGTCTTTTGGTTTCGGTGCGTTTTTGTGGTGAAGCTGGTGTTTTTGTCGACTGCCGTGTTATGGTTTTTGTTGTTGCTTCCTGATAAATCTCAGGGGACAAAAGGATCTGATTGTAATTGTAATACAAGCACACGGCGATAAACTAGAACATTGTGGGAAGGACGATTGGATTTCTGTGCTTTCAGGGTCACTGCAAGGTCTTACATCAAAGCATCAGAAAAAACATTGAATCAATATAAATAATTATAAGGCCAAACCGATACCCAACTCTACCGTTGTACTATCGCAGCGTCTCCATCTAAACAGGGCCAAAGACTATTGACTCAGACTTACTATTGTTACCTGGAACAATTTCTCAACTTCCAAAGAGTCTGTATGAAACAATAGACTCTTTGGAATCCGCTGACGTCACATGAACTATTCTCTCTAATAATCCAGAATGTGTACTAAATCCAAAACATTTTTGATCAAGTATTTCAACATTTCAACCACAATTTTCTATTTTATGGAGCTGCACTTCTTGTCTGTGCGTCTGTGCAGCCATGTGCCCTTATTGTGTGGATGTCTTTGTCAAAAATCCAAATCCTTAACACTGCCTGTGATCTAAGGCCAAGTCTACAGTATAATTTCAAATGCTGCAACTTATTCTCTTTAGTGTTGAAATTGTGAATTGTGAACTTTGAACTTATCTGTGGGTTCGGAAACAAGTCGGAACAGACCGTGGTTGATGTACGTGCCTCTTTTTGTCTCCTTTGTCTAAAAACTGTCAATATAACAAATTATATCAATTTTACCACACAAATAGTTTATTATGAGGACTGCGGCTATGCTAGTCCATCCCCAGCACACAGTAGAAGGCAATCATTGTTATTTGAATGCATAGTGATATAGATAGATATATATAGAGAGACTTTTAATAAACAATATGATATGAGATTGTACGTCGTGTGGCGGACGTTTTGAATGATTTAAAATGAAACTTATCAATTGTTTTCCATTGTTCTGTATTTGTCAGTGTTAGGTTCTTTTGTTCTGTGCTAATATTTAACATGTGTTTTTAATGTGAGAAATGGTGCGTAACGAGAGTAATAAACAGGTGTACACACTGCAGATAGTAATTATAATAAATGAGAGAAAGAGAATTGTGTTTTTGTGTTTTGTTTAGTTTGTTTTGGGTTTTTTTCATCTGGGGTTGGAAATTAAGTTGTTTTTTTTTCCAACACATGACAATACATCTACATCACATACTACAAACTAAATTTCAAATAATGTTATTCTTTAGTTTGAAATGGAGCAGAAAGAAGAGAGAAAAAATCTTCATGTACAAAATAAATTATTAAAGATGCAGCTGTCCTTTTTCCTCAGTTTATTTTTTATTTTATGATTTTTTTAATGAATGTATTTATTTTCTCCATATTTTAGATAATTTGTTCCATTTGATTTCACTATACCAGGTGACATGTACCAATCATAAACACGGGGAGAGGTGGGTTCACAGCGAAAGGAGCAAGAAAGCAGCAGATCCAAGCGTTTTAATTGAGGTGACATTAAGTTGTTAGTGTTGTACGATGAATCACTCAAACTATTGTGGAAAATTAACCTCACAGAGACGGGATCTTTACGCACCAAAGCCACCTGGAAGTTTATTCAGTTTCTCTCAGTTCTTTCTCAGGTTTTCCTTTGGTTTTTTCAGGCCGAACAAAATCAGGATATGGTTTTGTAGCCTACGTTTAGGTCACACATACGTCATACATGGAAAAACATATGTGTCATCTAGAGACATCGAAAGAACAAAACACGGACACACAATCGGGTTGTGTATCACTTGTATAGCAATCTTATTCCCATGCTATTATCACACATGTGCTTAGGAGGGACTGAAAAATTAAGAAAAGCAAAATCTAGAACTTTTAAAATATTGACATTTGACCTTTAATAGCGGGGTGGTCCTGGGTTCGAATCCCAGTCAGAACAAGGCCTTTCTGTGTGGAGTTTGCATGTTCTCCCTGTGTCTGCGTAGGTTTCCTCCAGGTGCTCCTACCACTAAAAAAAATTACAATAGTTCTGGCATGTGCCTCCTGTTCTGGCAACCTGCTCCCATCTCTGTGTGGAGTGACAACAATTGTAAAGTGCTTTGTGACACTGGTCTGTGAAAGGCGCTACACAAAAAGAAAATTGTCACTTTAATCTTGTTCTATATAACCGTGAATCAAACCAAACACAAGTTTTCATAGTAAAAATGTATATACATTGATGAGAAGACGTGTAAAAAGGTGAACACATATATAACAGTGGAAACAGACCGATTGCACTCGTCCCATAATAAACTTTTCCTTTGATAATTACAATATGAACTTTAATAAATAACAGAAGAAGCAATGGGGCTCAATATTTATAGTCTGTACATTTGAATTTCAATGTTGTTTTTGTAGTTTCCTTGTGATTTGTTAGAGAAGAGATATTATGCTTTATCTGTGTTACTTGGTGATCTGAAACATGATCTTCAATATGCAACTTGGCGTTATGTGTCTATAATCATAAAAGTAAAATGTCAAAATGTAAGGTAGGTACAGCACTAGTAAAAAACACATTTTGTTTTGAAAGGCAAAAACTGACTCTCTGATGTCATAGTCTACGGTCTTAGTGTCACAAGTTTGATAACTGAGCATTTGGACAGATGGGGTGGGGAATATGTATGTGTCGATGAGTGTCATTAGGGAATAATGTATCAAAAACGTGTCCTTTAAAGCTGGGGTACCTAAGTTTCAAATTGCACTAAATGGAGGCCTCTGTCACATCTTTCAGCCCAAAACATCAAATAGTGACTTCTTGGGCTATGCAAAAAATGACAGGTTTTTTTCAAATCAGACAAAATGTTGTGGTCTGATTTGTTCAAAACATTTTACAAGACTCTTTCTGATGGCACACACATTATTATAATGTGTTCAAAAGGTATGGTACCCCAGCTTTAAAATTGAGACTAAGACAAACTTCTAGTCCAACAAGGTTTGTTTGGTTGTCTGGTAGATTTTATAAGTTGATTATTTTTTAAGACCAGAGTGTTTTTGTTGTTGTTTTACTTTTGCAGTTTTGATGCTGGATCAAGGAGACAATAGACATACAGAAACATACAGAAACATGCCCCTGGGACTATAAACCAGGATGAGGGGGCTTCTTTATTCTGTCCTGAAGATTTGGGACTGCAGATGTCGCTGTTGTCCTGCCTCTGGTGGTAGGAAGAAAGCTGACAAGACACATCACAGGAACATCACATGGCCCGGAGGAAGACTACGCCCCAGCCTCAGTCCTAGATCCATGGCCTGAGTCCTAGATCAACAGCCTCAGTCCTGGGTCTACAGCCTCAATCCTGGATCCCACAGCCTGAGTCAGATCTACAGCATGAGTCCTGGATCTACAGCCTCAATCCTGGATCTACAGCCTCAGTCCTGGATCTACAGCTTCAGTCCCGGATCTACAGCCTCAGTCCTGGATCTACAGCCTCAGTCCTGGATCTACAGTCTCAGTCCTGGATCTACATCCTCAGTCCTGGATCTACATCCTCAGTCCTGGATCTACAGCTTCAGTCCCGGATCTGCAGCCTCAGTCCTGGATCACCATCCTCAATCCTGGATCTACAGCCTGTCTGTGGGAGCTGATCCCTCTCTCCATTTCGGTGTCCCAAAGATTTCTCACTTTTGATCTGATCTGTTGTTGGCGAATTGACAACTTCGCAAAATCCTCTCCGAGATGACTGCTGTTGTGATTTAGAGCTACACACAAAAACCCTGTCTTGAAAAAATAATCAACTTGCAGTCAGACAAACTTTTTCTCACTTGGAACGAGACGGAAAAAGTACAGCGTAAATTTACAAACAAATCTCAACAGATTTAGCTAACATCAAGCTAACATCATTTAAAGTTTGTGCCTTTCTTTGCGGTGTAACAGTCCCAGAACAGAACGAACCACAGAGAGGCAGAGAAGTTTCAATCCAGAGACACAACCTGGAACCCGTCCATTCCCTCCGGCTCTGGACGTACAGCCTTCTTCTTCAGCCTCCAGTTGCGTGGCAGCGTCCCGGTGTTGGCGCTGGGGGCGGTGGACGACGGGCTGGGTTTGTTCACGTAGATGTGGGAGGAGCTGTTGGTGGGGGGCGGGGCCGGGGGCGTGCTCACGGAGAAGATGTTCGGCCGCTGAAGGGGAGGCTTGTTGTTGCGTCTCATAATGGTGCGAAAGGTCTTTTTGGTCGACTGCTCGGCCTGCTGCTGAGCCTGCACCTGCTGCTGGATCATCAGCTGCACGTCCTCCTGCACACACACAGACAGCAGGTGGTTCAGGATTGGGAATGCTAATGTGAAGATTTAAGACATACTGTATTTGTCCCACAGTGGGGAAAGTTCAGTGTTGCATCAGCCATTACAGAGCAGTAGGAAGGAGGAGCACACAGCATAAGATAAATAAACAATCGCTAGCTGTAGCATAATAAAGAAGCAAGTATTAATGGATTCAGTTCTGTTTTTTTATTATTGTAAAATTTATAGAACCTTTGAAAACATGTGACCTAAGATCTAATGTTCATAATAACCGGGCTATCCACTCAGCCACCGTGCCGCCATAATGGGCGGCACGGTGGCTGAGTGGATAGCACTCTCGCCTCTCAGCAAGAAGGTCCTGGGTTCGAATCCCGGTCGGACCAGGGCCTTTCTGAGTGGAGTTTGCATGTTCTCCCCGTGTCTGCGTAGGTTTCCTCCGGGTACTCCGGTTTCCCCTACTACTAAAAATATGTCCAATAGTTCTGGCATGCGCCTCCTGTACTGGCGACCCCGCTCCCATCTCTGTGTGGAGTGAGAGACAAATGCCCAAAAAAAATTAACAATTGTAAACCGCTTTGAGATTCAGATCTGCAGTGAAAAGGCGGTATATAAATAAAGATTACTACTTACTAATAACCGAAGAAATAAACTGCTGCTGGTGCTGCTACTACTACTACTACTACTATTACTACTACTACTACTGATACTGCTGCTGCTACTGCTACTACTAGACTATCTTCTGTGATAAAGCTATTTCATCTACAGAGTTCCTGAAACCTTGTACAAATTCATTGCTGCACTTGGAACAGAATCCAGCTAATTCTAACTAGAAAATAAAGCTTATTAACCAATCCAGAATTCCAAAGTCTCTGTTTCTTCCAGCAGCTTTTGAGCCAAACTGCCATCTCTGAATGACCCAGAGACAGTTCACGATCTTCAGTGCAATTCTAGGCTTTTTGTTGTGAGACTCAGTGTTGTTTCAAGTATTTTGGAGGCCCGGAACGAGGAGAAATGACCCTGGTATTTGGCTTGCTAGCTTGACATGTTGCCAGCTTGAGGCCCTGTAGGTAATTGCTCCGTATGCCTCCTCCGTTGTGTGTCCTCTGTTGTGTGTAAGACTTAATGAGAAAACACATTAAAATGCACAATACGACGCGTGGCTCTCACACTAAATATTTGCATCTCGTGTTTGGAACTGCCCTACTTCTGCCTCCACCCTAACCCTTCAACTTTCTATATTTAGATCAAGGCTGTATTCAGATTGTTGTTTTAGCTGCTTGCGTCAAATGGACTCGAAACTCGTCACTTGTCGAGTTTAAGTACATTTCTGACATAACTGTTTGCGTTGTCAGAGATTTATTTCATGAGTGGAAGAATAGAGTCTGTCCTTCTCTAGAGGTGCAAGTTCTGTGAATGCAAAGGAAAGATTCTCTCCCTCCCCCCTCTGTACTGTATTTTTCAGCTAGTACTGTATTAGAATGAATGTGAATCTTGTGAGTCTTCTAATAGTGGTCTGGATTTGTTTTGGGTTCTAAGGTAACATTTTAGATTAGCCCTCACGAACAGCTAATTAAGTCCTAATTAGTGAACCCTAACCCATATGGGAAAGTGTCAGTTAGTCGTTAGTTAGATGTTGTTGAGGCCCTGTCGAATAAGGATTAATAAATGCATAATAAATACCTATTAATAATTATTTGGCACTTAACTAGCTATTAATTAGTGAAGGCTAAACTAAAGTGTTACCAAAACATTAGAGATTTTCTTACTTATCTTTGTTACATAACTATATTTAGGCAGTAAAGAGTTGGCTTGAAGTGCATTCAAAGATTTTTGTAAATATTTTTCATCCATTCCTTATTTTCCCTAATTTTGAATATGGAATTTTGAGACACAAGTTCTTGCCAATGCAGGATTGTCTAAGGACAGGGGTGATGATCCAAGACACTCGACATTCAACGACATTTATGGAATTCAAAGGTTTTGTAAAGTCCTTCGAGATAAGTGAGTAAATAATGTTTATTTTTATAGGGCATTTTACAGGCCAAGGTCATCCAAAGCGCTTTACAATGTTCAGACACACATACATTCACTCTCTCATTTACATTCATTCCTATTGTGCATGTTTTTAGTGATAGGGGAAACTGGAACACCCGGAGGAAACCTACACAGACACAGGGAGAACATGCAAACTCCAATCAAAAAGGCCCTGTTCCGACCGGGATTTGAACGCAGGACCATCTTGCTGAGAAGCGATAATGCTAACCACTCAGCCACTGTACCGGCCAACTCATAACTACTGTTGCGATTTGGCGAGATACAAGAATAAATTGAACCATTGAAATGAATTGACATCTCTGGAGGTAGACATGACGCTTCTATTTCCCCAGACCCTCACCTTCCAGGCCTCCAGCTCCAGAGACAGCTCCAGTCGCTTCTGCACAGCCTCCAGCAGCTGGTTGTTCAGAGCCATCATCTCCGTCTTACTGCGCAACAGCTCAGTCTCCATCGCCTTCTTCCTGAAAACAAACAAACACACAAAGTTTAACGTCTATCGAACTTCCAGGTCTCAGCGTCTGACGGAGGAGGGCGGAGGACTCACTTCTCCATGGCCTCGTCTCGGTCTCGCAGAGCCTGCTGGAGGATTGTGGTCTCCTCCACGTTACCGGATTTGCTTTTGTCCTAAAAACACAAATATATGAATATGTTAATACACAGCACATAGAGCAGTGCGTCTCAAAATATAAATGCGTCATACAAAATAACTCCCACAGCAGTCAATTTGACGGATTTTACTTTTGGAGGTGTGTCTACTCATCTATGTTGTTTTTTTTTTTTATTGTATCTAAACGTTTAGATACAATTTTGTAGGTTTTATTTTGAAATGTGAGTAGTTTGACCTTTAACTCCCAGATTGAATAGATAAAGAAGAACAACATAATACAATCATTTGCTATTTGCAGTTAAACCACATTGGAAAAACTGTGCAAGACTACCCCAGTGTGCACCAGAAGAAGCAGATTTCTTTCATAATTCATGCTCATTCATGTATTTATATTCATGTATCTATTTGATTATGATTTTATCAATGAAACTGCATGGAGTAAATCTAAGCCGAGTGTTTGAGATAGTTACGTGTCTGTTGTCAATACAGTTCATCTATTTGTAATCTCTGCGTCTATTTCTATGGCTCCAGGTTCCTGTTTGTTCAGCTCCGAGGACGAGTTTCAGTCCTGAGTGATGCGGAGCGGCTGCATCGCTGAGCTGCCTTCACCTCCACGTGTTTCACCGATGACTGACTGATGTTTGACAGGTCCTGGCATCTTAAACCTGCGGAATTCCAGCCTCAACTCTTAGAGAACAAGCAAGTCTGTTTTTGACAGGAAATAGTTTGAAAGGAAAACGTTGGTATTGAAATCTGTCGGTTTGAAAGGTCAACAGATTGTATTAATGTATTGTGTGTATTAATTATGAAAATAAATAGCATTGTATTACTGTGCAGTTTTGTTTTTTTGAATTGTACTGCATGATATTAGTATAGATAGCTGTATGTGTGTGTGTGTGTGTGTGTGTGTGTGATTGGAATGAAATAAGCCATTGCTTTATCAAACCCCTTGTTGAACCATGAGCTTGTTTTGTTGCTTTCTTATGTTAATAAATGTGAAAAAATTGTTGTTTAGGTTTGAAATGAAGGATCTACGTACAAAAAGTTAAGTACCCAAGCTTTACTGTATTACTCCTACAACACTCCCGCTTTGTTTCCACTGGACGGGACGGGATTGTATTACAGAGTTACGTCAATACTATCGCTGAAGGAGACTGTGAAACTTTACATCTTTAGCATTTTTTTAGCGTCTGTGTGTTTACTTTTACTCTAGAACATTCCGCTCAGGCTTTAGGGCTGCGTCGTTGAAGAGACCAGTGCAAGAGTGCCAGAACTACACGTTTTGTTATTGAGAAGGAGCAGAGGCCTCGTAAAATCGTCCTCTGTCACTGACCTGGAATCTTGGTATGAGGGATAATTAGTTAAACTTGTCGAGCCGTTTAAATGCCGTCTGAATGTTGTTGGGCGAAGTTATGTCAAAAGAGTCCCATTGTTGCAGATTGAGGAGGTGAAATTAATTTTTTGGGGATTTTTGTCCCAACTGTTCAGACATAAAATTGTGAATTGACAGTTGTATATTGCAGATTTAAAATAAATTATTTCCATACATATATGTACGGAGCTACATTTGTTATTTTGTGCTAATGGGCGGCAGTAGCTCAGTTGGTAGAGCGTTGGCCTTTGAGCCAGAAGGTCGTGGGTTCAAGCCCCGCTCAAGACTTTCACCATCAACTCCCAATGTCTACTGTCGTTGTGTCCTTGGCAAGACACTTAACCTCTGGGAACACCAGCCACAGTGGGACTGCTGCGGCTGTAAAGTGCCAAACTGCCATTGTGTCCTTAGGCAAGACACTTCACCCCCATTGCCTAGAATGAGTCTGGTGTGTGTGTGAATGGTTGGTGGTGGTCGGAGGGGCCGATGGCGCATACTGGTTGCCTCGCTTCTGTCAGTGTGCCCCAGGGCAGCTGTGGCTACAGTAGTAGTTTATCACCACCGTGTATGGAGTGAATGAATAATGACACATGTGAAGCGTCTTTGAGTGTCCAAAAAAGCGCTATATAAAACCGATGCATTATTATTATTAATAGCTTGCACTGTACATACAGTACAGACCAAAAGTTTGGACACACTTTCTCATTCAATGAGTGTCCTTTCTTTTCATGACTATTGACTGTAGATTCACACCAGGCTGTGTAAGGGCTGTTTGTCCAATAAGGAGAGTGATGGTGCTGGGCCAGATGACCTGGGCCTCCAGTCACGGGACCTGAACCCAGTCCAGATGGTTTTGGGGTGAGCTGGACCACAGAGTGAAGGTGAAAGGACCAACAAGTGCTAAGCATCATGTGTGAAGCAGTAATCAGAGCAAAAGGTGTACTTTGAGGAACCGAGAATATAAGACAAATTTTCAGTTGATTTCACTTTTTTTTTTAGTTACGTACATAATTCCACATGAGTTAATACATAGTTTTGAGGCCTTCAGTGTGAATCTACAATTTTGATAGTCATGAAGATAAAAAAAACTCTTGAGATGGGTGGGTGTGTCTAAACTTTTGGTCTGTACTGTATATGGACAATGCCAATCCGTTATTGCTCTGTGAAGCCCAACAGGGAAGTGCTCATGGGTGAAGATTTTCTCAATCTATTATAATTACTATTATATTTGCATCTGTTGATTTATTTGAGCATCTATTAAAACACATGCAAGACATTTGAATCACAATGACAGTCAATTCCAAGAGTGATTTTTGGCCATAATTCCTTTAAGTAAGTAAGTGAGTAATATAATTTATAGAGCGCATTTCACAAACCTAGGTCACACAAAGCGTTTTAGAATATTTTTGAGTAGCAATAACTTCTGTATTAATAGTGTTTTATTTATACATACAGGCAAATGTATGCTTGCCTTTCCTTCAATGATCTAAAGATTATTTTGGCGGTATTTCCAGCCATCACTCAACACAAAAATTTTCAATACAAAAAACAAGGTAGTCCTTTCAAACACAAAAATAGAACATTGAAAAATAAAGTAAGTTTTTCTCCTCTGTAACACTCACCATTTTGAGTTGAAATATCCTCAAATCCATGATGCAATGGACAGATGAGCCATAAAAACTGACTAATCCGCTGCCTTTTGTCCCCGAATTTTGACTTTGACGAGCGAATACCACAACTGGGAACAAACCAGGGCAGTTTCTGATTGGCTCTTTGGTTGCTACGGTGTTGCCTCCAGATTCCTGTCTATCTAGCCTGTTCCAGCTTCCCCTGTAGTATATATTACAACCTCTCAGTCCGTCAGACGATCACGCCACTACAGAAGAATCATGTATGAAGTGTTTTTCATAACAGACAAAGTAGAAAAGGACGTATAGTTGCACAGTCAGGTTTTAAATTCTTCCTCAATTCCTCCCATTGTCTTTTATTGCTTCCTGTGACGCAGACAGTTATTAAGCAAAGTGCGATTTGAAGCATTTGACAAATATGCAAATTACCATCGTAAACAAATCTTTTTCCTGAAGTCTACAAATACAGTGTCCGTGTGTATAGACTCAGCCATTGTACCTGTAGAAGTTGTATTGCTTTATCAGAAATTGGGGTTTGAGTCATAAAGTTTTTGCCTAAATTGTTATAATATTCTCTTGTTACTTGGTATTTGTCATTTTAGTCAGTTGTAGTCTATACTTTAATCCAGGTTTATCAACATTTGCATTTTCGTTTCAAACATGTACAGCAATCACGGCGATCATCAAATATATAAATTAAAAAGGGTAAAACACAATGGATTATACTTTGAAAACGTAAAATGTCCCAGAAATATCATGGTGTAAAATGTTACTATGAATATTGAGAGGCAACTCAAAATCAGAATCAGATTTTTTTTTGCCATTGTGAGCAACAGGAAGTCACAAAATAGGCATTTGCTTGGACTCTCGATGCAAACGAGTAAAAAATAGAATAAGGCATGCATAGAAGGAAATCAAAAATCAACATGAAATTTATCTTTTTAAATTACCGCTATATACATCAAGTACACTAAACTCTGGATTGCAACGAAAAGGAAAATAAGACTTTGTCATGTGAAGCTTGACATTTTTAGCATTTTTAGCGTCTGTGTGTTTACTTTTACTCTAGAACATTCCACTCAGGCTTTAGGGCTGTGTTTTTGAAGAGACACGTGCCAGAACTACACGTTTTGTTATTGAGAAGAAACAGAAAGATCGTAAAATCGGCCGCCACTGACCTGGATTCTTAATAATATGGTATCAGGGACTTTTAGTTTAATGACTTGGTTGAAGACTTGTCGGAAATATCATGGTGTAAAATGTTACTATGAATATTGGTAGGCAACTCAAAATCAGAATCAGATTTTTTGTGCCATTGTGAGTAACAGGAAGTCACAAAATAGGAATTTGCTTGGGCTCTCGATGCAAAAAAGTAAAAAATAGAATAAGGCATGCATAGAAGGAAATCAAAAATCAACATAAAACATGTTTTTCAATTACCGCTATATACATCAAGTACACTAAATTCTGGATTGCAACAAAAAGGAAACTAAGTGAATGACTGTGAATGGGAAGCAAACTCACTGGACATTGAGCAGGTTTGGGATGCACTGGATCGCTGTGTCTGACGGCGAGATCCAGTTCCTGCCAATATCCAGCAGTTTTGCACAGTCTTTGAAAACGAGTGGGCCGACATTCCACAGGCCACAATCTACGACCTGATCACCTCCACACAAACTCTTACTGACTGCTTTTTGCACCAAAATTAAGCAAGAATTGAACAACAGAGAGCAGAGAAAATGGTTCGAACCAAGCAGACTCTGCAGACATCACCTGGTATTATTAACTCTAAACTAAAATTATGTATTTGGACACCTGAATCACAAAGCGCTTTACAATTGTTGTCTGACTCCACACAGAGATGGGAGCAGGTCGCCTACATGCCAGATCTAGGGTGCATGTTTTTAGTGGTAGGGGAAACCGGTGCAAACAGAGGAAACATATGCAGACACAGGGAGAACATACAAACTCCACTTAGAAAGGCCCTGTTCTGACCGGTATTAAATTAAATTAAAAAGTGCCCAACTTCATCCAACTCCTTTTCAAATAGTGGTGATTTTTCTTTGTTTTTCTATCAGTGTTCCTACGACATCTGCTTTTTCTATCATTGAGTGCTTGAAATGGCACGATCAAACACTATAATATTTCATAACGTAGCCATTTTCTGATGACAAATTCTCTGGGCATTCGTCTTGTATTTTACTAGGTTAGATAATTGATTGATTGATTGATTGATAATAGTTTCCCCTTTTATTATGTGCATTACTTTTATACTGTACCTGTGAGCAGCATTCGTACAGTTATGACTGAAACTTAAAGTCAATAACAATACAATACTTTGCCTTCCTGGTGTTGACTCAAAGCACACTCTAGCACACTCTTACAGTAGCTCTGACCTGTGAGGTGTGGTCCAGGGCCAGTTTCCGGGACACAAACTGCAGCTGGTTCAGACCCGCATCGAGCCGGTTCCGTCCCGCCGGGATCTCCAGGGGCCCGGATTCTGTGAGTGGGTGAAGTAGCCGGAGAATAGACAGCACCTCCTCAGTCACCTACGAAACCCAGACCCCAAGGAAACACAAGAGAGATGTTACAGAAGGCTTGGCTTTTAAGTTGGTTGTAAAAGAATCTCACATTAGCAAAATCAAGAGGAAGCTAAGGCAAGAAATGTATGTGTGAAAAGTTATTGAATTAACAAACACTGGCCGTAGTACACTGAAAGGTTTTATCGAATCAGCTTTTCTAATCAGCAGTTTTGAGAACTTACCTCATTGGACTAGGTTTTTGTCATGATCTGCTCCTGGAGAATCATTTTTTGTCTCATTGCATTTTTGAATTACTTATCTTTTTTCTCCTTGAGTCCAGAGATCCTGTGTTTTCTACCAGTTTATCACCTTGCCATATACCTGCCTGCCACGTCTACCTTCTGCCTGCTCACCCTTTACCACTTCTTACCCTGTATTTTTCATTTGTGAATAAATCTGTCTTTTCAGTATTACTTTTTTCACTTCTGCTTCTTTCCGCTTCTGCATTTGGGTCCAATCCAGAACCGTGATAGTTTTCTTCTAATCACCAATTAGTCTTTTTAGCATTGTCCATCTACACCTTTTTCGGCTGGAGAGCTACTTTTAAAAGGCAGAAATGAGAGAGAGCTACACCCTACGACAGCTACGTGTGGTCATAATGAAAATGTAGTATACAACCATGGAGCACATATGGTAAACATTTATAGAGATTTTAAGGTTTTTTTTAAAATTGAAATAGCATCATGAGTTAAAGACTGTGCCTCTAATAGATACACAGTCTATGATTACGCCAAATAGTTGTTTTTCTTTCAACTAGAAAAGTCAAATGTATAAATTGACAGTAGGTGAACATTCAAGCATTATCTACAATTTAATGGCCTGTGTGTGTGTGTGGGTGTGTATTATGTGTGTATCCTCTCTCACCCTCTCTCGGTCTTGGCTCCAGCCGTGGCCCTGATGACTCTCCTGCAGTTTGTCGACTTGAGCTTTGAGTCTGATGCTCCGGCGGCGAGACAGCTCCACCTCCCTGCGCACCTCCTTCAGCTGAACACAAAACCAACAAAATGTTTAGTTTAACATTCTGCACAGACAAACATCAAACTGTACCATTCTGATTCTTCATATAAAGTATTCTGAGTTAATCAAGAGCATATTTGGGATGTTCTATATCTCTGTGGTCAATTATCAAATCCATGCTCTGGTATTGGCATGAATACATCAATTTCAGATAATCTTTTTAGAGGAGCAGGACACAATTCCTCCAGAAAACCTATCCTTAACCTAATTTTAAAACCCTAATCTTAATCCAAAAACTGACCTCTCTGTGTAGAGCCTAAAGCAGTTGCTATGTTGCTAACTGCTATGATGGTAGCTGCTATTGATGCTAGCTGCTACATCACTAGCCGCTAGCTGCTATCCTCATTTGAAGAGCAGATTGTAGATATAAAGACATTCAGATTTGTGCATAATAACTGTGCATAGACTCTTTTTTTAATATGATTTTATAAGCAGGCATGTTTTAGTGTATTTTTAGTGTATATCTTGTGTGATAAAGTGCAGCTTATTGAAGACACTGCAGTTTATTTATAACCTTAATAGTCTTGTTCTTGGATTATGTCGCTCACAACAGCAACATGTTTTTTTCTCAAATAAATCTATTAAAAGCACAGATGACTGGTAAAGAAGGGACAGTATGTTATATGCACAATTACTGGTCTAACAAATATTTCTGTTGCCAGAATCCTCCCATCTGGATCACATGTAGCTCCAGAGCCCTGACTTGGACGGGTTAAGTGCTAATTAGATTATAATTCAGGGTAAATTAGGTCTAATTGGTATTTAATAAATTATTAGTGCGTATTCTACATGGTGTTAGCATAGTGTTAGCAAAGTTTTTTTGTACCCGGTTACATTTAAATACGTGTGGTACTATTTTTTGTTTGAGTACTATTTATTAATTAATTACTACTACTACTACTACTATTAATTAAGCAAAAATAATGAGAAAAGAGCCTAAATCAGGTCATTTTCACCAAACAAACTATATTCTTATTTTTGTTAAATAAAAAAACAACAACTTTAGTTTAAATGTTTCGTGGTTTGAAAGTTAGATAACGCAGCTTTGACCCAGTTTTAGTGTCGAGCGGCAACAATTACTCTCATTGTATTTTCTCTCTGGTTTCAAACTGGTTCTGTCGCACAGTCGCACCAGACAATGATCGCAACTGTGATTCTGTCTGCAGCAACAGAAGGCACAAAAGATAAAAGTTAAAAGATTAGACATTTATTACAGTTAGGTTTTAGCCCAGAATGTTGAGAGGATGTTTCCAGAGTGCTTAGAAGATGTTTAAAACAGTCTGGTTTTGGACAGATAAGGACATTTGTCTCGTTTGAATACATTGAGATTTTTGTTTCTATACCGTTATTCCTAAATCCTGCAACATTTTCATTTAATCTAACTTTTACGGCCAATATTTCCATGGCCAGAATACATTTATGATAAAATTTCAAAAAGGTACAAATGCAGAGGATGAATTGCCCCACAGGGATCAATAAAGTGCACTTTTACCTTTACCCTATTATATAATGTCTACAGAGAATAGATTTTAAAGCTACTCTGTTTGTGACAAGTCTCTCCACGGCCTCTCACCAAAGTACATCTGTGACATGTTAGAGCCATATGAACCAACTCTGAGGAGCACAGGGACTGGACCCCTGCTGGTCCCAGAGTCAGGATTAAACATGGGGCGGCAGTGTTTCAGATTCTTGCAGCTAAAATCTGGAACAGTCTTCCTGAAAATGTGAAACAGGCTTTTACTCTGACAATGTTCAAATCCAGGTTGAAAACAGTTCTGCTTAGCTGCTACAACAGAGGGATTTTATCTTTACTCTTTTTAATGTACTGTGATTATTTGTATGATTTCTGTCTTATTTTGTTGTTGGAGTTGCCTTGTGTATGAACTGTGCTATACAAATAAACTTGCCTTGCCCTTGCCTTCCATGTGTCATAAGCTGCGAGACTTAGGTGAGTTTTGTAGTTGAAGTATCGTATTACTTTTCTCTGCTGTGAAATACTTTAACCTGATGTCACATAAACAGTGTTATTTGAAGCATTTTCTATTTTACGGCCAAGAAAAATAAAACATTATTTCCTTCCACACTTTGAGAACCGTGGAGACAGCGTTTCCATTTTGACAGAAGAATCTAGATCAGCAGATTCAGTTGTTGATGGTGATAAATGTATGAGCTGACTGTAAACACACTAAGAAGTTTCGATCCTGGACTTTTTTTCTCACTCAATCTTTCCTCGTGCTCTTTTCAAACTGGTGATGTCACATGTTTATGATTTACTGGTGTCGTATGAACCTGTGCGGGCTCAGAAACTTGGGATATTACGCTGCTTGTAAATGGAACGCTCTGTAAAATGATATCAAATGTACAGCTCATTCAAAAGTAAATAAAATATTGGACTTTTTGTGTTAAAGCTGAAGTGACTCTAACTTTAAAACAGCAACAAATTAACAACATATGAGTAAAATCTAATGTAGTCTTCAAAACCGTTCAGTTCAATTGCTAGTTTTCACGTACATTTGACACTATAAAATCTGCTTTTTCAGTTAAAAAGAGAGGACCACCTTCACTCAGCCAATCAGCTATCAGTAAAAAATCAAATGTTTTATAATAATAATAATGATAATGCATCGGTTTATATTGTAAAGATTTTCTGGACACTCGAAAAGGCTTCACATGTCATTATTCATTCACTCCATACACAGTGAGGTGATAAACTAAAATAGTAGCCACAGCTGCCCTGGGGCACAATGACACACGCGAGGCAACCAGTCTGTGCCATTGGCCCCTCTGACCACCACCAACCATTCACACACACACACCAGACTCATTCTAGACAATTCGGGTGAAGTGTCTTGCCAAAGGACACAACAGGATTTTAGCATTTTACACCTGCAGCTGTCCCACCTGTGAAAAGCCAGATCCACAGACCCCCTGAAGCTAAGCAGGACAGGGCCTTCTGGGAAAAACATGCAAGTGGTGCCAATAACTGTTGAAGTATTTGTAAACTCACAAGTTACACCCAACAAACTAAATACAAGGTTTGAGTCATGGCTTGATTACCGTTGAGAAGCTGGAGAAGCTAACTTTTGTTTTGGCTTCATGAATACAAGGCAAGGCAAGTTTATTTGTATAGCACAGTTCATGCACAGGGAGAGTCTGCATTGGTTCATGTGGTACTAACAGGTCGTTTGTCCCACACAGAAAGAATCTTGTTTAAGTCACATTTTCTATCTATCTATATATATATATTACATACTGAGAGCTGATTGGCTGAGTGAGACCTAAAACTGTGACTGAAATTAAAGTGTTTTGAGAGAGAGGAGCTAGCAACATAGCTTTTATTACATAGTAGTAGTAGTAGTAATAGCTTAGTAATCTTTATTTATATACTTTATTTATATACTGCAAATCTGAGTCTCAAAGCGGTTTACAATTGTTAATTTTGGGCATTTGTCTCTCACTCCACACAGAGATGGGAGCGGGGTCGCCAGTACACGAGGCGCATCCCAGACCTATTGTACATATTTTTAGTGGTAGGGGAAACCGGAGTACCCGGAGGAAACCTACGCAGACACGGGTAGAACATGCAAACTCCACTCAGAAAGGCCCTGGTCTGACCGTCTGGGATTCGAACCCAGGACCTTCTTGCTGAGAGGCGAGAGTGCTATCCACTCAGCCACCGTGCCGCCCGTTATACATAGTATATCGTGTGTGGTTAACAAGTTAGATACTGTTAGCTGTTTTCTTTATCTATATCTATTGTTTTTTGCTTTTGTATCTACATATTTCTTTTCTAATATGCAATATACTGTGTGTATTGTATATTTCCCATAAACCATGGACTGTGTTGTATTATTACTGTTCTACTAATCCACATTGGGTTAGGGTTTTGAATGAAGCATAATTTACAAAACAAACATCAGAGCAACACATCATTTTAACATTGTTCAACAACAACACAATCTTACTGTATCGTTGACATGTCCCAGCGTGTTCCTCCTCCCCAGGGGCCGCCCGCTCTTGATGAGGTCTGGCAGGGTCCCGTCCATGAACGCCTTGTGCACGATGCTCTCCTCCGGCGCACCTGGACCCTCCGAACCTCCTGCAGCCCTCTCTGTGAGAAGCTCCCCCGGACAATCCTTCTCCTCCGACTTGGTGGAGCTAGCATCATCCTCCTCCCCGGCTTCGCTCATCCCCATCTCGGACAGCAGAGTGGCGTTGTCCTCAAAGATCTGCGGAGGGTCTGAGGCAAAGCCGTGGTCCAGCTCGTCTTGTTCCGGGGTGAGGTCTTTCGCCGGGGTTGGATTTGTCGGAAGAATGGTGGATCTTGTGTAGTAAGGGGATGTTGCTCTTGGAGTCCTGTCTTCAAGGCGGTTCAGGGAGTTGTAGATTGGACTTCCGATGTCGATTCGAGGTCGGAGTCTCTCGTTCAGAGCAGAGAACGACTGGTTGTAGTCCATGTTGGGAGAGAGAGAAGTCGTGACTGGTGCATCAGGTGTGTGTCTCTGGGTGTTTGTGCGACAGAAGAGAGAGAGAAGGGAGAGGAGAGAGAGAGAGAAAGCTGTCAGAAATGCCCACAAACTGGCTTTTCCTGATCGAGAAAGACGTGTGATGAGGTGATGTCAAAGGAGGATGTGGCCTGTGTGTGCGTGAGGTTAGTGGGTGTGTGCATGTGTGTGTATATGTGTGTGTGTGTGTATGTGTGCCTGGTTAGTGTGTGTGTGTGTGTGTATATTTGCTCATAGGTCTGTTTGTCTGTGAGTGTGAATGTGTGTGTACTACTGTCTGTCTGTGTATGTGTGTGTGTGTGTGTGTGTGTGTGTGTGTGTGTGTGTGTGTGTGTCAGACTATTTGACTTGTTTTTTGTGCATGAACTTGTGTGTTTTTTGTGAGTGCATGTGTTTGTTTGTGCATGATTGTGTTTACTTGTGTGTGTCTTGTGTCCGTCTGTCTGTGCTTGCATATGTCCCTTTGTCTGTTTGTCAGTGTATGTGTGTTTGTGGTTAGTGTGTGTGTGCGCGTGAGTCGGCCTATGCAAGTCTGTATTTGTGTGTGTGTGTGTGTGTATGCGCGCATGTGTGTGGTTTCATAACGTGGCGCACCAACATACCTGACTCTGGCTCGCCTTCCAAAGAGGGAGGAGACTTTTGGCACAGGGAAAATAAATAATATAAAATTAGAATTAGGTTTGACGCACACACAATAAAATCAACGTGTTCAGGTTAACAATAGATGGAGAAGAGACAAACACAAATTGACAGTAAATAGATACAGTTTGTGTGTATCATTGTTCATAGTTGGACTTTGTACTTTTGAGTCACAATAGAAGGAAAGTTACATCCTGGTTACACATCTACAATCAGAATTATTTGTATTGGCTTTGAAAGTAACAGGAAGTCACAGAATCAGTTTCAAACAAGTATAAAAAGTCAGAATATGTGAAGGCATGCATACAAAATCTTAGTAAAATTCTGATAATAGACATTTAACAGAGCAGCTGGTCAATAAGTGTCCAGGGCTACACACCTGCGATGTATTTATTATAGGAGCCAGGTCAAAAACCAAGAAAAAGTTACTAATTTATTGCAGTTATAAAAACACAGTGTGGTTTTGTCAACTGGAAAAACTAAATCTCTCTTTCCACTAGTCTTACTTGGCCCCACTCTACTCGGCTCTGCTTGAACCTTCTTGTGTTTACATAATGCTTTATTATTTGCTATACTGTATCCATTAGGAACCTACCCACAACAAACCAGTATCCGTGG